AAGGTACCAGCTTTCAGGATGCAATCACTGAAAGCCTCATCAAGAAAAGTTTTTCGAAAAATCTCGGAGGAAGAACGATGGTCATTGCGGGGTAAGCGACCTTACACTCCATAATAGTCAGTCCCACTCTAACCACAACAGGCACCGAAGCTCCTCAATCATGGATGCAGAGGAGATTATCGTCCTCGGAAAGAAAGGATTAAGTCTGCAGTCTGATGATGTGTTATTGAGATACAAACCCCAAGTACTTGGCTGTAGCAAAGGCAAAGGCACATCGCGCGCAGCAACCTGTATCATTCGCATCTCTAAACCATTGCCTAGCGTGTTATTATCAATTTGGCGATGCATAAGCTGTCCTCGTCTTGGTGGCCTAGACTGCAGCCTTTTGCTTTACGTTTGGTGAGCCTTTGCGAACTGAATCGTATAAGAATTCTCTCAAGTACCATTGATGATTCCACGCTTGAAATTAATTATTCTCGCACTGCTACTACCTATGCATCGCATCTTAGGCTTCTCGCCTTGAACTCGTCAAAACAATCATGGTCTTAGAATCCAGCTGGATTGGCAGTCTGCAAGTCGTTTGCACGAGTGCAGCTGTGATACTCTCTGTATTTTCACCTTATATCGCCAATCCGCGCCGCATCACATCACCTCGGACACTCCTTTGGGCTACTCGGGCTCAATTGGCTCTCAGCTGGAGTGATTCCATACTGCAACTCGAGCCCCTATTACGATCGTATCCCCTGGGGATTTCAGTCTATCACACAACACTCTACGCCATTGCGACTTCTATCCAGTCTGACAGGCTGTTCGAGAACAGTTCATATGCTTGGAAGCCCTACGCCTGTGTCTGGTGCCTTGGTCTCTCTCATGAAGTCGTGCAGGTTGCACGACATCTCAGCACGGACATTCAATACTACGACTGGTCAATCATTGAGCTCACTCTTGCGTTCGCTAAAATAATTCTACTACTCATTCTCATCTCCTGCTTTCTTCTGGGCTCCGAAGATGGGTACGGAAGCATTCCTCAAGACGAGGAATCAGCAGGCTTTAACGCCTTCTCCGACTCCAATCCCATCTCAAGCGTTCGTACAGACAATTCCGAGAGCCACCACAAAACAGCGACAGACGAGGTGAAAGACCTCGGGTTCTGGGCGTGGGTTCTTCGGTTCAGAATCATGAAACAATTCATCTGGCCCGCTGATCGACCGGATTTGAAGTGGAGGTTTGTCCTCTTGTTCGGGCTCAAGCTGGCCCTGCAAGGGTTAGGCATCTTGGATGCTTCAGCATTCGGCGATGTCCTAGACGCGCTATACTCTGCTAAGACTTGGCACGACGTCCTCCTGCCGATGGTCAAGTTAGCGATCTTACGTTTCTTAGTATCACGGGTCGGCCTTTCCCTATCATCCAACTGGCTATGGCTGGAGTTGATCACATACCGGCAAAAAAAAGTACAAACAACAGTCTACGATACACTCATGTGGGCTGACCCTTCCTATCACAACTCAATGGATTCAACCAACAGCGGACTCGTCATCGAGCGGGCTGAAGGTGTCGACCAAATATTCGACTCAGTCTTACAGGACATGATTCCTAGTGTGATTGCAGCCTTTTCTGCCACCCTATTCCTTGTCACAATAACCGGACCGATTATATTACTTGATCTGGCTATTTGCTCGACCTTGGTTGGTATCGTCCTTCGCCGATCTACTCACCAAGTCTTGGAGTCTCGTAGGTCGCTTCTGGCAGCCGACAGCCACCAGAAGCAGCAACGGCAGGACACGATTCGTGGCTGGAGAACTGCTGCAAGCTATAATCAGCTACAGTACCAAATTGAAGAAAACAACAAAAGAGTGGCGACAGTTTTCTCCTTGCAATGGAAATTTTTATCAATCGTAACCAAAGCTTACTCACTCATGGATCTAGTGCTCTTTATAGGCTGTATGGCGGGAATGCTTGTCGTCATCAAACTTGTTCTTGACGGAAGAGCTACCCCTGGGGACTTTTTCAGGTACCCGATGTACTGGAGCATACTCTCCCAGCCACTCGAACGTCTGAGGATATCTACAAGAGACATTGTGAAGAAATTACAAGAAGCTGATGAGGTGAGAAAGCTTCTGGAACGGACGACGAAGGACGGCCCAAAACTTCCAAAGCTAGAGTTCCAGGGAGGCGAGCTGGAATTCAGAAACGTCACGTTTCGCAGGGGTCAACAAACCATTCTTGAGGATTTCAGTCACCGTATTCCTGCAGGGACGAAGACAGCCTTGGTTGGCCCCTCAGGCGTTGGCAAATCGACGTTACTCGCTCTAGTGACGGGCCAAGAAAAGCCTGACAGCGGAGAGATATTGATCGACAACCAAAACATCGAAGAGGTTGACATTGACTCGTAAGCTCTCCTACGTTTGAGAATCACTCAAGTATTCAACTAATGATTCGTGATTGTAGTTTACGGGGATATGTAGGAATCATAGAGCAGGATCCTTTCATCTTCAACTGCTCAGTGAAAGACAATCTCAAGTATGCCAAGCGCGACGCCACGGATGAACAGATGAAAGTAGCCTTGCAAAAAGCTTCTCTGGACGATGTTGTGTCTCAGCGACCAAAGAAGTACGACACACCCGCCGGAGCCAATGGGCGGTGAGTATCCAGGTGGGTCGCTATCGAGGACACCGCTAATGGCTAAGGAATACAGAAACTTCTCTGGGGGCGAGAAGCAAAGACTAAATTTCGGTCGCCTGTTTCTCAACCCGCGTTCGATCGTACTGATTGATGAAGGAACCAGTGCACTAGACGCCGAAACCGAATGGTTATTGAAGTCAAACCTCAGCGAGGCATTAAGTGGCACGACATGCATTTTCGTAGCGTTTGTCCTCCTTTACTGCCCCTCGCGCCGATTGCAATCTGATAATGTGTATTAGGCATCGTCTCCCTTCGATCATGGATGCCGACGAGATTCTTTTGCTAGGAGACAAGGGACGAATCGTGGAGAAAGGGACTCATAGATCGCTTTTAGATAAGGGGGGCGGATATTGGAAGCTTTGGCAGCGACATATCGGGCAGTCGACAGAGTAGTGGCGAGGATGATTGGGAGCGAGGTTATGGAATAAATCACCCCTTTTTGGGGCATGGCGTGAATGTAGCAACAACCAGAACCTGACCTCGCCCAATAGGGCAACAATAATCCCTCTATTTCGATGAAACATGGCCACCGGGTGTTCGATCCATGCCTGCCTTGAAGACTTTGTTGGCATTCTTGATGATATACCCTTCGCCTTGAAGAGGACTTCGCATTCCATTGACCCTACACGAATACAGCCACCCTCCGCTATGCCTGGCGTGATGCTGCATTCTGCTGCAACTCGACCAAGAAGACGGCCAATGGTTCAGTATGCTCATTGTTCAAGTTGACACGGAATAGAGCTTCAGGCGCGTCTCGCTGGCAGGAGGATGCGTATTACCGTGTAGGAACTGGACCAGGGTGTGATGGCGGAAGTGCCGGCTGTTTTTCTGCACATCCTTAATTATGAGGCAATACCTAGCAATATGATTAATGGTCGCATTATCACGCCAATCAACCAAAAGCGAAGGGTCGCATGCATGGAGCTGGACTAAGAATATCATCTTAGTACAGCGAGTCTGGGTTCAATGGCCAGAGCAAGGTCCATCTTAAGGCAAGGGCATCTTCCGGTTACACGACCACTCCACCATTCCGGGGAACCGGGGTAATGTACCTAGTACGGAAGGAAGTACTCAGCTACCTAAGATACAAATCAGACGTCCGTCGAACGACCAGCCCTCGATTTCTCGACTATCTGATTGAGCAGACTCAGTCGCCTGCAAGTACAGTAGGCATGTGCAAGACGCCACCGTGCATGAAGCATGACCTGTGCCTCTTCTGCCTCCTTGATAGCCCCACAGGAGAGGTAGTGACTCCAGGCTCATGTGAACTGGCTGATACTCTGAATTGCCGAGTCGGCAACACCGCAGACTCCCATAGGACAGCGACAATCTACCGCGAGAGGAGAGGCCTCAGCTGTAAGACAACTTATGTCCGAGAGAAACCACTCAGTTTCGCGCTATACGTCGGGGTATATATGATATGGATGCCTTGAACTTTCACTTTCAGTGCCGAAGTGTCTTTGCATCAAATCTGTTCAACAGCATGGAGAAAGCCAAGAGATCACGAGTAGCTATGGTAGTAAGTCTCTCAATCATGATTTGAGATGTTGCTCATTGCTCAAGGCCTGCAACGAATGCACGCGACGGAAAAAAGGATGTGACGGAAATCTCCCGTGCCAACGATGCACGAACAACAACATGACTTGTGTCATGGATAACAACAAGGCTCGTGCCTTGGGAACGCCCTGCGCTGAATGCACGCGGTCAAAGAAAAAATGCGACAGAAATGTCCCATGCCAAGAATGTACCAAACACCATAAGTATTGTGCCCAAAGATCCAACTTTCAGCGACTTCGACGGCCAACACAGCTGGTAAATCAAGGCCTCATGTACTTTCAAGGTCACTCTATTGATCTTCTTTAGGGACAAGAAAAACTCTTAGCAGGCATCGGCCCTCTTCAGGAAGCCCTGCCAGATCCAGGGCCCGTTCAACATTATCTAGTGAACGAGACTCCTTCATATCGAGAATCGCCCCATTTTGTCGAGCCCCAATTTTACCCACAAAGTATGCCACAGTCGTCTGATCCAGAGATATCAGGTCAACTCCGACATGCCTTCGTACCATCAGAGCAGCAACACAATATCGCAGGAGATTGCCTGAGACACTTTGTAGCGTACCGACTAACAACAAACGGTCAACTCTTCGATTACGATATTCAAGAACAACAAATGCGTCCTCTTTGTGAAAACGAAAACTACTTAACGCAAAGTATTTATCACTCCATGGCCCCGTACCTTGAGAAACATGCAGGATATGATCATCAATGGGATCGTCCCTTCTGGCTTCACCACCAGCGTGGTCATCTGTCAGTTAAGCCGTGTTCTGTGCGGTTGGAACGATGCTGATCGTGTATCATAGTCAAGCATATCATATTGGCTGCTTCACGACACCACCACGAAATTATTTCACAGACTCCTGGGTAGCGTCACAGTCTTTGCAGGAAGCTCGAGCTACCATTGCAACGTTTATCAATTTTCCACAGTCATCCAACAATCAGGAAGATCAATCTGGTCTCTCTGATCAGGCGACACTAAGCCCTCTATCTGCCTTTGACCTTGTCAGATAGTATTTTGCGGAGGACCATATCACACTTGAACAAGCCGAACCTTCCGTGGGCTACAGGAAGCGTTGCAGGTGGTCTTCATTTGCTTCTGGCCATTTTTGTGGCTTTGATGAGCGAAGCACGAAGGAGGGACGCCGGGCTAGCAGGAAACGGCACATTGTCTAGCGGAGGCTTCCAGATACGTCGATACACCTGGCAACAGCACTTTCTCTGCACTTTCTCTGCACCCGCTGGGCTGTGGTATGATGGAGCATGAATAAGGGTCAACCCAGTCGAGACGGCACTCAAAAGGGCTGCACATGTAGTCTGAAAGCCCGCCGGCGGGCTAAATAGTCATGTGAAGTCCTAATTCATATTGACGGAGCTTGCAATTTACTTCCTGTCGCTCACTACTTACTATACCTTACTCATCTCCCGACACCGTGAAACATTTTAATGATACGTCACCGCTTTGATCAGGGACATGAAAATTGCCCATATCACCCCAAATCAGAGTTCTGCCACCGCGGCTTCAAAGTTCGACGTCAAACCTCGCGTCCACCTGAAACCGCATGAGGTTCTTGTCATACTTCAACCAGCTGCCTGATTCGGCAAGACGACACCCAAGCCAAAGGCACCGGTATACACGCTCCTGCATCATATAGTCAGGGGGTAGACCGTCCTCGTCGGTGTGTATCTCTTTTCCCGTAAACCATTTGTCGGGATAATACTCTTCAGCCCATAGCAAACCCATCTGTGCAAAGTCCTCCGGCAGCGGCTGAGCACTCGAAATGACAGGTGTCGGCGAATTATCCGACTTGATATTTTGGACGGATGAACATGACTCCATGGCGATATTCAAGAATGAGCAGATCATGCTCCAGGGCACCTTAGCCTCAATATATGCCATCGCACCGGGGAATTGTGACAAGTGGTGCAGGAAGACCAGGACGACATGCATGTAGGAGTAACGTGAAGCCTTGTCATCGCCAGTGAGACCAAGCACCGCTCTGTGGGCACGGAACACGAACTCAAGCGCATCGGTGAATCTCTGAGCTGGGATGGGTGCTATCTCGTCGAAACTTTGGATGTCGTCCGCAGCCAAGCCTTCTTCGTCCGGACGTCGTTTTTGGATAGCCCTCATGACCGGGTTGCTCCTATTCCCGTACTCAAGAAGAGCGCAACTCAGCACGATTGAGATTTGGTACCCCTGCTCCGCCGACCGGCATATGGACGCCGCGAGGTTTTCAGTAAAGGCTTCCGAGTACGCAATGAACTGGTCGCGGTGCTTTCCGGAGAACAGAAGATCATGGGCACGCACGAAAGCAGTGTTGATATCTATAGCCTCGATGCCTATGATGTCGACGTCGACGTCATGGAGAGCCACGGTGATGATGTATGGAGATTCCTGTTGCATGAGATCGACCTCGTTCACGTCATCAGCCGTGATCTCGACCATCACGAAATCGAGATCCTCTAGGTCGGCTTCCGAAGCATCAACCATAATAGAAGCGGATTCCAGGCGGTCAAGTTCCTCGGTTCCGGCGTCGAGGCCATCCAAGTTTAGAGATTCAATCACTTCATTTGTCAGTTCCATGCTTGGAGCCTCCTTGCATTCGAGCGAACATGTGCTGAGAATAGGCATGTCGAAGACCTCATCGTTGTTCCGATCGAAGAACGTCATAAGGGATCGAGCTTCAATAAATGGAGCCCGTACACAGAGCGACTTTGTGTAGAAGAAGAGACGCTCGAGAGTATTCGGTTTCGCGAAGGTCGCTGATTTGTGATATAGACGGCCGATTGAAGGAGACTCTACACTGGCCTTGGAGTACCAATAACGTGTCATTGATGTCGAGACTTCGCGATCCCGAAGGTCATTGTCATTTATAGCCATTCTAGACCCGTCAGCGGGCAGCAGCGCTGTCGAAGTCATGTTACTCACCGGTATGTTCCCAAATCGCCAAGACATTCAATCCAAGTTCCTTTGAAAGCCGGCACCGTCTCATATAGCAGAGCGGTGAAGGAATACGCCAAGTTGACGAAATTTCGCATGTGCTCGAGTGATTCAGGCAGACGTTTGTGTAATAACTCCAGAAAGGAATGGATCCCGTTCTTCCTCAAGCGCTCTGGCATTTCATTCTTAATTGCAAGCCGACGTAAGGCTGGACTGGCGGAGGGATGCTGAGAGGCCAAGAGGAAGTCATGGTGCTCATGTAGAAGAGTACGGTGCAGTACAACAAGGGCCTCCCATTGCTCATGATTGAGCTTTGAGTCCGTTTTGGAAAACTGGGCGTTGACGACCTCGATACACTTGCTCTCGAGTAGCACGAGCCCGGCGAAAATGCCTTTGACTTCAGCCACGAGCTGCTTGTGGCTGATAGGTCTAGTCTCAAGTTTTTTGACCATCACTTCTGCATCGTCCCATAGTATAGGCTGAGTGTCGAAGTTACGGCTTGACGTCGAGAGAGGCGCTTGATTTGTGTCAAAATCGTGCGTCGTTGTCAGCGGTTTATCATCTTTTTCTTTCTTCAAAGAAGTTTTGTCGACAAGTACGGCCGGGCCTTTCGCTCGAAGGTGCCTCAGGAAATTGATCCGATGCGAATAGCCGCCTGCCTTGTGATGGGCGCGTAGTTTCATCTCTTCAAATCTCGCCACGAGTCGATCGTCCATCTTGTAGTCGATGGCGATGCGCATGGTGCACCGAATTCGTCGTCTCGGCAATAACTCGGCTCCACTTTCTTTCTCTTCTCTTTCTTGGGCCAGCTGGGTAACGACTAAGAGCTGTGCACAGGAATTAGAGGGGTTAACGGATGTCGGGCTGCCAGATGGCGCATTCGTTACCTACTTGGTGTGAGTGCTGTTCTCGGTCCGGAATCTTGCGGCTGCTTGCAAAGCCTTCGTTGTCTAGACGGTCAAGGCTACTATAGGACGTGCTAGAGCAGGGTCTTTATACCATTTTTATCCCCGGGGACGCCTTGTTTGGTGAATGAAACATGGTGCAGTCCATTCGTGCGAACTTGAGACGGCCGGCCCATGAACCCCGACCTATCATGGATTTAGAGGGCAGCCTGATGGGTTTGACAATTAGGCAGTTGGCGACGGCTTGGACGCCTCGTAGAGTCCGCATTTGCGTCGATCCGCCGCCTTACTTACCATTCGGGGTCTCGAAGCCCCCCCCTCCCCGAGCAAAACGTGTTTCCTAAGCCAGGCTTATCTCTCCGCAAGGTAGGCTTACAAGTCACTAAGAGAGCGAAAATGCCACGGCTTAGGGGCGCTTAACCTGGTGCTCAGGGCAATCTTCCTACTCGAGGATTCAGACTGCACGTTATTGCATCACAGCTCCCATACCTCTCGCAGGCCTTGCGACCTTTTGAGCTGTCAAGTTGGTGCCTTCTGCTACAGGCATGCGCGAGTGTGGAGGCTTTTCAATTTTCGCCAATAGAAATGTGTGTTCGTGTGTTGTTTTCTACAGAAAATCTTTTGGCGATATTCAGCGCCTGACCAGGTCCTAATACTTCGAAGGGATTGTCTGATGTTAAAATTTGCTTGATCACCTCTTCTGTCTTCCTCTTTCTCTGCCCTTTAGATCAAACTGATCGAGTATTTGTAGAAAGGCATTGCTCGAATGCTTGCCCGGTGCCACTTTTGTGTCACAATTTGGGTTCGAGTGGTAGTGAGGCTCGACAGTCTCATCTGGCCTGCACTGATAGCCTGTTCGCTACCGTTCCACATGAAAGGGCTGTTACTTCAAACATGTCATACATCCGAAGGGGACTCCTCATCCGTTACTTCTCCTCCCTGTAGCTGTTGATACGACGTGCTCTTGTTAAAATCAGCTGAAGAACCAAGCCATTGTTGGCGATGCGAGTTTACCCACTGAACCTCGATGAGGGTAGTTATGAGAATTTGTGAGCCGAGCTCTTCATTGTGGCAGCTTTCAGACCAGCATCTGGGCTCTTGTAGGTGACACTGAGAGACAATCTCTATAAGTGCTGGCGTCGACATGATATCGCTCCCCTGCCTTCTCTTCTTCTAGGACGAGGATGATATTTTCCGTTAGGGTAAGGAAGAATACTATGCGGCAAGGGGCTTTTGCAGAAAAATGAAGTCGACGTGGATATGTGAGAGAACTATACTGGTCAAGATAAGAAAGGCTGATGAACTTTAAACGATTTTCGAGCTTGAGGGAGTCTACGGAGAGCGGACATTGATACATAGTAGATAGGGCACCTGTAGCCTCATATTCAAGGTTGGCACCAACGACACATGTGAAGAAGTGGAGCACCCTGACGAGATTATGCTCTGGGCGAGGAAAGCATTGTGAGTCGTCGGAATTTCTTTACAAATTATCCAAGACAAGAAGGACTCTTATCACAACCCGTGTGCGTTTTTTGCAGTCACTTTGATGTTCCATCTCGACCTAGAAACTGCGCACCTTGTTCCACATGGATATCTCTTCCACAACAACCTTTTCGCTACAGAAGCGGTCAACTCGTCAAATGCATGTTGTTCTATAGGTTATGCTATGTTCATCTGTCAGCGGGGTTTCCGGTTTCATGCAAGTAACTTACCATAACACAGTCCTCGCATCGTGCTAAATGTACTCGGACCCACGCAGGGCAGTCTACGCCGTACTTGAATCTATTCCTGCAGGGGTAACGGTCGTCCATGGTGGTCACTACCTGAAAGTAAGATGGGTAGATGGCTGCTAAAGGGGGTAAAGGAGGTAATATGACGCTAGGGTTAAAGGCGGTTCGTCAGACCACAAAGTACGCAGTACAAGTGAGGTTTTTATTTTGAAGGGACGCTACATCCAAGACCGTCAGTTAGGGCTGGCTCTGACGTTGTGCCAAGCTCCAGTGGTGGTATAGATCGTAATCAATCATTTTCCACGCAGCTCTCCAGCTGCATATGCTGGTAGGCTTAAGTGCAGATCGATCTGTCGCCTGCAGATGCCCAACCACTTTGGAAGCAACGATTCGTTCTCTTTGATACCCCCCGATGTGATGGTCGGAGGCATATACGGCACTTCCGGGGATGAGATAAACTGGATGGCCATTTGTTGGTCAAAGATGTAGGAACAGGCAGCCATGTGCGTTGTACCCCGAGTAGCGCGGTACATCGTATGCATCACAGGAGATTTAGACTAAAATGGACGGCGATATCAACTTGATTGGAGTCCGGAACAGAGGGAAGATAGTGTGGTCTGATTGATTTCGACAAGCCCAATCGCTTTCGCGATGGACGTCAACCATCCGTATCCGTACGTGCAGAAGACTCAAGACGTGGAGTTACATTGCCAGCAATACCGCCAAACCAGCACACAAAACTAGCGGGGATCCATCGGCATGCACGAGCGCAGCACGCTAATTTATCCTTGCTAATATGAACCTTGCTACCCGCATGGGCTCCGCTTCTGCACTTAGGCTTACCCGCATGGGCTCCGCTTCTGCACTTAAGCCTACCCGCATAAGCTCCGTTTCTGCACTTAAGCCTACCCGCATAAGCTCCGTTTCTGCACTTAAGCCTACCCGCATAGGCTCCGCTTCTGCACTTAGGCCTACCCGCATAAGCTCCGTTTCTGCACTTAAGCCTACCCGCATAGGCTCCGCTTCTGCACTTAGGCTTACCCGCATAAGCTCCGCTTCTGCACTTAAACCACGCCCTCCCTCCCCACCCCTGCTGTTTGCGTATACTGTGTAATTCGTAGCCGTGCGGATGAGTATTTTGTGCTGTGGCAAATCAACTCCGAAGACAAGGGTAGTATCCGCCAACCACCTCTGAATGCATCGCAGGAGGGGACACGGGCGACGGAAGGCAAGGGAGAGTCAGCCAGGCATTGCCGTCGTATCCTATAGATCTATCTGTACGTCGAAGTCCAGACCTCCCTGTGAGACGTGGATGTAAAAAGTGTTAAGAACAGCGTGGCAATCTAGCCTACCGCGCGTATTTGCAATCTCACAGGTTGCCTTTCATTCCCCGCTGTCTGATGCACCATGTCGCACACCGCTGAAAGTGAAGCTGAAGTATTGAAAGAACTCCGACAATATTGTATGCAAGGTCAGGTCAAGTTGTATAGTTCATATGCTGACACCTCGCTAGCTTTCGATTGTCGTCTGAGGATGTTTCAAGAAGTGAGACGCAATCTGCGGGAGCATGGCCATCCGGCAGATATAGAGTCTTCGGAAAATCAGAGAAAGAAGAGAGGGGGTGAACGTCAAGCTACCATGACGGCCTTGGGTGGTGTAAGGAAAATCATTGGCATACTTTACACAAGAGTGATGGACAAAATTGCTCGAGGCTGAGAGGTGTTGACAGGATAGTTTGCCAGCATACGCCTGGTGCAGCGCAAACTAATTGGAAGCGCTTTATTCACGTCGCTAGCAAATAGATCGCAATTCCATTGACAGAGGTGGACTCCCAGGGATTTCCCGAAGCTTTGGGTGTCGGGTGTGGTGTTGCGTTGTGCCGATGTGTTTTGAATGCCAAGCCATTCGGATACCGAGCCACAATCGCCAACAAGTAAGCACAAATGTGCATTTTCGAGGCGCAGGGCTACCACCTGATGGTTCGCCACAAATCCTTGCGATGCTGGCGGACCATTCCGAGATGGAGTCGCAGCCTAAGTCTACGTGGATATATAAGGCTAAGAGATCTCAGACTCTCAGTCTCTCTGATAAATCCTTAGTATTGTAGAACCGTATCACTTTTGTCCATTTCCCCAAAGAAACACCATGATCCAAAAGTCCGCATTGGAGTCGGCTACGTGTAACAGTGTCACCGCAGGGAACATTGGAACAGAAACCATCCTGACGCCCCGAGAGCCGGGTCACTCTTCTTCCAAGAAGGCAATTTCCATCAGTGAACGGATCTCCGACTGGACCGAACTGTGGCTCGAGCATGTGCTTGTATTTCCTCATATCGAGTTTAGGCTGACAGCTGAATCTAGAGAAGAGAGTCCCGCATTGGGAGAACCTGTACAAGGAACGCTACAAAATCCGTGGCCAACAAGCGATCTCCCTCGGACGGCCCTTATTCGGAACCGCGTGTCGTCAGTCTCGCCATTACTTTGGAAGTCTCTGTCTCGAGAACAATGTCAGAAAGAGCTGGACGAAACCAGTTCCGCAATGACAGCTTTGGAAAGCAAATGTACCGACTTCTATCAGCAAGTGGTGCTCGACAGGCGGAAACCCACTATGAAGGAGTGGCAAGAGATGTTAGGAATGCAACATGACCTTCTACGGTACTATAAACACTACATTCTGACCTGGCAACATCAGTCTTCGGGTCGCGTCTTTGATCGCGCCGAATCTTTCGCCTTTCTTGATCGAATGTGGACAACAGGTATACATCAGCCTCTTCGGCTCACGCGTATCTACTGCCCAAGCGCATGTGATTCCGTTTTCGAGATGGCCAATTCAGCTTACACAGTTATGTGTATGTTGTACGAGACGGTAGATTCTTCGTCAAGAAACAGCATTGCAGAAGCTTTGGGTGATATCTGTCGTTTTGCGTCAGTGTTCCTGAAGGTCTGAGTTTCAGTCATGGTCAGCTAATCGCCCCTAATAGAATGACTCCAGACTTAGAGTCTGATCACATAGCTCGGGGGTGTATCAGCAGATACTGGTATACAATTACTACAGAAACCACCCCTAATATCGGACGCCTATATCATCACATCGCATTCACCGCCTTGGAGGGGAGCCTGCAGAGGACATTCTATCTAGCCAAGTCGCTCTGCATATCACATTCATTCCCCGATGCGCACGAGGCGTGGAGGTGCCGCCTCAAAAAGCTCGAATCTCGATTGAATGCAAGTCCATCTGAGGTTGCAATCTCTGGCTCGCCAGCAGCTGAGATATTGGACCACGAACTTGCTCTGGGTGTCATCAAGGATCTCAAGATAGGCAATTGAAGGGTAAGACAGAATATCAGGGCCAGTGTTGAGATAATTCCCGGTTCAATTCACTTGAGTAGATGTAGCATTGTTTCCTGCTGGTTCCGCAGCTTGCCACTTCTTTGTTGCTTTTCTCAACCGTACGTGTACGAGGGTCACATACCCCCTATCTCGTACTCGATTACAGTAGATTCCTGGCCTCCCTTCAATAAAGTCAGGTTTAAGGTGTCTCATTTGATGGTGCATGATCTAGTGCATAAGTTGGCACATGCCAGCCAAACTTTTCCACGTTGTCCCACCACTGATAGAACGTCTTTCCATCGACGCCCGGTGGCCCCGGAATCTTTTTTCCCGCTTCTAGAGTAATGAACTGTTTTTCTCTTTCTCTTTCTCCTTCTTCTTTTCCTTGTTCCTTTGCTAAAAAATTCTGCCATTGGAAAGGATTATAGCAAATAATTCGTCTCAATGTTGTTGTATTGTTCCGAGTATCATACACCATTCCATCATACTGTCCCTTGTTCTTTAGCATTACGTCTTTTTGCTGTCGTTACTCGGTTAGACAATCCTCCCTCCCGACGTATGGCAAACTTACGTAATCTTTGATTTCTTTGGCCAGGTCTGTCTTTGTTAAGGCCATGAAATCTTCGAAACTCAAGAGGACCTTTTCTGAAGGCTGATAGCCCCAGTAACAGCTGATCTGAGTCTCGAAGATGTCGCAATTGATACTGTAATTCTCCGGGACCTCGTGAGCGAGCCGAAAAGCTCGCGACTCTTCCGGAAAAAGTGCTCGTTTGCGAAACAGAAATTCTAAGTCGTTGATAGCACTCATGACTTAATCGATGATATCTCTTTCAACCTTGGGATGCCACAAACCACAAGGAAAAGTGCCTTACTACGGTATCAGGCCAAAGTTTAACCCCCCTGTCAAGTACCGACGGAGCTGGCCCATACCCACCTTCCACGAGTAGATTGACCAACCAGAAGCCGCCATTTCAGAACGGGCCCACTAATTGGCCCAGCCCAATTTTTTTACCAATTACGAATCCTTCCTCCTACACACCTACCACCTACCTACCTACCCTCACTTTTGACGAATTATTGCTAATATGGTACGGCCAACAGGCAGTACGACGAAGCACCTCAACGAGGCCGACCGCCAGCGGATTCGTACGCTATATACCGACGCAAAATTCACACAGGCTCAAATAGTCAAATTAACCGGATTTACAAAAGACCAGGTCCGTACGGCCGTGAGGGCCTCGTCGGCAGCAATTGCGCCGCGTTCCAGCCGCCCGCGGGTCATGACTTCACAACAAGAGGAAGCCCTCGTCAAGTACGTTACTTCCTCCAAAGACGGCCGCCGGGCCTCCTTTTTACTACTTTCAACTACACTCTTTTCCTCCCAATTCAGTACTTACGCAATACGGGCAGCCCTACGTCGGCTCAGGTTCTACCGTCGCGTCGCCCACCGCAAGCCCCCCATATCCGAGGCCAACCAAATCAAGCGTCTCGCCTAGGCCCAAGAGCACCTCCACTAGACCGTCGAAGACTGGCGGAAGGTCCTATGGACAGACGAGACATGGGTCACGGGCAGTCACCACCGCAAGCTCTATGTCACCCGCCGCCACGGCGAGGAATAGGACCCAACGTGTGTTATCGAGAGGCATCAACGCAAGCGGGGTTAGATATTCTGGGGATGTTTCTCCGGGGATCGGAAGGGACCAGGCATCTTCTGGGAGAAGGATTAGGGTAGTATTCGTGCTAATACCTACCAAGAACATACTATACCTATCATCAACGGTTAGATTCGCCTCTGTCGGCAGATGTACGGCAATAACCTCATTCTGATGCAAGACGGCGCCCCAGCACACAACGCAGAGTCAACCCGGCAGGAGCTCAATGACCGCAGCGTCCAACTAATATTCTAGCCGCCTTTCTCACCTAACCTCAACCCCATTGAGACGTGCTGGAATTAGATGAAGGATTATATACAGGAGCTTGCGGGCATACAAGAAAACCCCTCATACGACGTATTACGACAATGGGTTAAGGAGGCCTAGGATGCCCTTCCAGAGGACTTCCTATACTCGCTATTAAGTACGATACCCGCGCGTTGCCAGGCAGTGATTAATACTAACGGAATGCATATCAAATACTGATTTAGCCATAGAAATCAATTAAGATCAAATGATTGTCGATTATGTCAGCCATTTAGCGCCAACGATCTGACTGGTGCGTTGACCCTTGTCTGTGGATCGGTACCGAGCCAGGGGATTAAACTTACCCCTATAGACCAAGTATTTGTAGCCCACAGGGAAACGGTCCTTTAGGCGCATGCCCACGAAAAGTGAAGACCGCTATTTCGGTTTAGCAAACCTTTTGACGGCAGCTCGACCACTGCGTCGTTCAGGTACTATGGTGTACATTTCGGTACCCCCCACAGGAAATAGACAGGGGCAGTCACTAAGTCAAGCTAGACGAAGGACATGGGTATTCTCCACAAAAAGAATTGTGCCCCCCTCCCCCCCACCCCCTATAAACCCCTACTTCCTAGAGGATGCTCATAGCCCGGCCCAGCACGTGCCCAGGCACACATATGTACTTCTTGAGAACGACATGCGCCTCATCATGCGGGTGAATACATCTTGCCTGGGTTTGGTGCCATTCGCTTTAAAGGGGCGGGGCCGATGCAATAAGAATAGTGCAAGTACGCAGCACGATCGAGACACAGGGTAAGCCGTTGTATAAAGATTTGCTGTGAAGCTCCATGTTGTTGTGGCATTACATTATTGTGTTCACTATCATTTCCAGACCGCAATTATTCGGAATGACCACTTCAGCTGTAACGCCAACAAAGCCCTTCTGGTCAATCGGCCTGGGTATTTTCTTGCTTGTCCTCACTCTCAGTATCGCCCTAAGTCTGCTGCCTTTACTTGTTGTTCATTACCAACATGCTGTTGAAGCCGTCTTGCACGTTAAAATTTCTGCCTTCTTAGTCATCGCATTCTACATCGCGGAATATCTGCAGAAGATGTTTGCAAAATATTTGCAGCTCGTGCTCGACTCTGTGGTTTACGGCGCGTTGATTCAACAGCCAGTAACTGATGGCAAATCTGCACGAGCTATGAGAAAGTCGGACTCTTTGAATACCATTCTGAAAGTGGTGCTGCTTAAAGGCCTTCCGACGACTCTGACAGCCATGGCGACGTTCAAGCAGTTGGGGTATCCTTTAGTATGGGCGTTTGCATTTCCTCTCGCCATGCTGTTGGCAATATGCGTTATCTGGACGACTTTCCTCTCATCATTATGGGAGGAGACGCTGTCTGCAAAGGCCGACAGAGACGATATGATGTAAGGTACCCATCTTCAATATAGCCTTGGAAGCTGACACCCACCAGGGAGTATTTTGAAAGTGTTTCTAAGATCCAAGCATCCAACAAGAGGTAAGCAATCATCTCTGCAAGAAGGATCCGTTCTCACAAAATAGCGAGTTTCCGATCAATCTCCACGAGGTCTTAGGGGCGCTTCAACAACCGAAATCGTTAGGCTTGACCGAAACGGAGTTGAGTAATCTGTCTATGGAATCCTTTACCGGCAGAGTCAAGACGCGCCGGAACGAACTTCAACAGGCCTATATTGAGTCACAAGTGAAACGATATCATGCATTTATTGGTTGGACAACCTCCCAACTGTTCGTCGGGATTCTAGCATTCGTCTCAGTATTGCGTCACGATACTGAGGCCGTGATTCTTTGCGGGCGGCTCGGGCATCAGGTCTCGTCGCTGGATGACGGATGCGAAAAGATTGCCCAGAGCTTTCCCAAAGCTTTTCAAATTCTAAAGGCAATGGAGGATGCCGGAGGAATCTGGCTACGACTAAGAGAGGGGAGTGATCAGGCGAGTAACGCATTGTTTGACGCCCTGCGTTTGGGGAGGGTGAGTTCGAATAACAGTGGTATTCAGATCAAAAAGGTGAGAGGATCTAGAGAAAACATTCCGAGGGCTATACTGACCTAAGATACCTCAGGTCCATCTAAGGAATAACTCTTCCCCCACTTACGGCACGGTCAACCACTCTGCTGAATGGGCATAAGAGACGGCTAAGAGCAGGCAACATAGGGTTCAGTAAAGATACGGATATGATAGTCACCTAGCATGTAATCAAAGCCCTGACTACTGCGATCAATGCAAGTTATCTTCGACAGATTGATGGGGTATCGTTGAGTGCTGCATTTCATGCATACCTCAGTAAGACGGCGAGACAGACTATGTTACAACGTATAATGCCCTGAGGCTTCATCGCCGTCTACAATCTATCGTAACAAACTATCCACATCGAGCTATAGACATTCGCCTCGATGGGGTAGTCTAAAAGGACTTCCGCTGGGTGTGTACAGAGTGTACACCTAGGCGACCGGCATAGCTAGGCTAAAGGAGAAGCGGAGCCTATGCGGGTAGGCTTAAGTGCAGAAACGGAGCTTATGCGGGTAGGCCTAAGTGCAGAAGCGGAGCCTATGCGGGTAGGCCTAAGTGCAGAAGCGGAGCCTATGCGGGTAGGCTTAAGTGCAGAAACGGAGCCTATGCGGGTAGGCCTAAGTGCAGAAGCGGAGCCTATGCGGGTAGGCCTAAGTGCAGAAACGGAGCTTATGCGGGTAGGCCTAAGTGCAGAAGCGGAGCCTATGCGGGTAGGCTTAAGTGCAGAAACGGAGCTTATGCGGGTAGGCCTAAGTGCAGAAGCGGAGCCCATGCAGGCTAGCTAACCTTACAGTTATAGAGGGGGAGGATGTGCTTGAAGTAGCTTGTAGGTGTAGGTAGATATAGTGTGATACAGGCCTATATGCCATGTTGTAGTTGAGATGGAGGGAGTCAAGGTCGGATCAGGTCATACGCGGTCTCGCTTCACCTGGGTTACAAGGGTAGGTCGAGTGCATCGAACGTAGGAAGATACCAAGTTCAAGGACAAGTCAAACAGTTTTTGAAGGCTATGTATGCGATCGAAAGTGGGACGTTGGCCTGCATTCAATCACAGAATGTGGTGCAGATTCCATCTGAATAGAGGGGTGTCGTCATTTACCTACGTAGGTCAAATACAGATGCCGCTGAACACCTACAAGGCCAGCACAAAACTCAATGTTGACGCGACGAGCTCCAATTTGGTATGTTGTATCCCAGTATATAAGGGCTCCAGCCTTCAGACCAGTATTGAACGACGCCCCCGACAGCTGCCATCGAGCGTTTCACCTGCAAAACAATCACCTTTCCAAATTCTTGCTTACCGATTCATCATGTCAAACCTGGCGATTCTTTCTCTTGAGAGAAATGAGAGTTGGTCGAAAGCACAGGCAAAGGCACGCGCGGCCACCTGTATCATCCATGTCTCTAACCCTGATTCGTTTGTGTCCATCGGGGCTTCAATCAGTCAAGGCACTGGCACACTTGTTGATGCATCGCGCGGCATTGTTCTTACGTGCAGACGCGTCATAGGTAACGGCCCTTCCTTGGGTCATGCCGTGTTTGGAACAAAGGAGGTTAGTCACTACTTCTAAGACTAATGAGCGAAGATGCTAAGCTCCCGATGCAGTATCGTATCGAGCGATTATACAGTGATCCAGTCCACGACTTCGCCTTTGTCAAGCTGCTTACCAAGAATGGACAAATACCCGAAGACCTTCCGGAGGGCATTAATCTACACCCTGAGCAAGCCTACCAAGGGTGCAAGATCTGCACCGTCAGTAACCCTGGAGGTCAAGAGAGCAATATTGGGCAGGGTTATATCTCCCGCACCAACTCTAATGTCCGCGAATGGGACTTCGACGAATGCAACACGGAGCTGATGACGGCCGCGATGAATTGCGAAGGAGGCTCTATTGGCTGCTCGGCCATCAACATCCAGGGCAATGGTCTTGGGATCATGATCGGCTTTGAGGGCACTGTCATCAATCTATTGCCAGTTGATTTACCGCGGAAAGCCCTTGAGCGTCTTCAAGATTACGCGCCCGTCAACCGAGGAACTCTTCAGGTCAAGTGGGAACTCAAGCCACTTTATGAGTGTGATAGACTCCAGCTTGGCCAGGAGTGGTTGTCTCGCTTTGAAGATGAAAGGGTGGAGTACCTGGTTTGTGCAAAGGTGGTTCTACCTCAAGGGCCAGCTGATGGGAAAGTGAAACCAGGACACATTCTTCTTCAACTCGACGACAAGCTTGTTACAAGTCTACTCCAGGTGGATCTGTATATGGACGCTCATATCAACGAAAAAGTCGGATTGACATTATGGAATGGAAGCAGCTCAAATGACGTTGAGTGTTGCATTGAAGATCTCCATAATCTCACACCCCATCACTTAATTGCACGGCAAGGGACGGTTTTTTTCCAATATGGATTTGCTCACCGCCTTTGAATTCAACATTCCTGTGAAGGGGGTGATATCATCCGCAACCTTTCAGCCTCCTTTTGTTGGGCCAAGCCTGATCGAATCTATCCAGGGCACAGCTTTTTCGAGCTCGGAGGCGATGGCTACTGTATTCGAGGCGAATCATAAGCACCGCTTTATCACCAGCTGCTTTAAAAACATCGGTAGCCGCAGCTTGTCGACACCCCGCACAGGATACCAACTCACCATAATGGACAAGCCATGGTTTGAGATGAAGAGGCAACCTCAGCAGGGTGGCCCTTGGGTGATAACATCAATGACACGCCCAACAATCATTCAGCGACCGCTCTCTCACCTACAAGATTGTGAAGCAAGTGTGCCGCAGCCGTTGCTACTAGACAACGACAAACCCAATACCGGCGTCAAGGAGATCTTCCGTACCACGTTTTCCTTTAGGGCGAATAGGAATATCTTTTCTGATGGCAACTGCGACAACAACCATCTTGGTTTCGGCCTGGTGTGCGACGTCAAATAGGGACTCGCTGTGGTGCGTCGTGGAACGTTCAGTATGTTCGATGAGGTCACAATCACGATCAATGGCAGAATCAATGTCTCGGCTAGCGTTGGTTTCTTGCACCCGGCACTAGACTTAGCTGTGCTGAAGTTCGGCCCAGTCGGAATTGCAAACGCTTTTATGTCCGACCCTGCTCTTACCGACAACCCGCTTCGACAAGGAGATACTGTATATCATGCCCCTTTCGGTCTCTCTGGCAACATCATCAACAAGACGCAAGTTGAGAATATTGATGAAGACTCGGCATATCGCTTCCACGATGACACGTCACCGTTCACCGCCTTCTCCTGCACGACCTGTCATCTTCGTATCCCTCCCAAAACCTACCAGACTGAGGGTATCCTGTTAAACCAGGATGGCACTGTTGCTGGTCTGATGCTCCCATCTTGTGCCATAATTCCGTCAGCCTTAATACGGGACATGATCGAGCATGTTCGAAGTGGCCAAGTGGGGAAATTCATATTCCGGGACTTTGACGTTCATCGTATGTTGCTAGCTGATGCTTTCCTGCAAGGACTGGACCGGAAGTGGGGAGAAGCCATCACACACAAACATGTGTTGTGTATTGGGAAGGTACCAATCGAAAGCCCCTTGCGGTCGTCTAGCATGATCAAGCACCCGCTACGCCATGGAGACATCATTCTCAAGGTCGAAGGGCTCCGGGTCAGCACAGTTTCAGAAGTTGGCTTCCATTACTTGAAGCCCGTTCTGAGCATCTTGCTATTCCGCAATGGCGAAGAGATCGAAGTTGAAGTACCCACACTCTCTCTCCAAGATGTCACCATCGACACGGTAGTCAGTTTCTGCGGCAGCTGGTTGCAGAAGCCTCCTCTTGCTACACGCATGTCCGGTCGTCCTGTTCATTCTCAGGTATACACCACAGCTTTTATGAAAGGAGGCCAGGCCGATATGTTCGAGTTGAAAAACGGAGCTTTCATCGTCGGAGTAGACGGGAACACAATCTCAACGATGGCGGACTTCGTGGGCCACGTAGCCAAGATACCTTTCGAAAAATACTTTCGGGTTGAGTTTATTCCCGAAACGCAGGAACACAGGGTCATCACCATGATGAAAAGTGTCATAGGCCCTACACTTCTCTGGCGAAAGTTGCCCTCCCAAAATGAGGAAAAGGTTACGGTCAGTGTGGTTGACGACGAGCAGTGGAGTCAAGGATGGACACTGCCTAGGGCCAAGAGCGAGCGCATCCTTCTTGAGCCGCCAAAGTATTGGCATGGAGGATTCTGTGGTAATTTGTTCTGTAGTAGATTTGAGAGTAATGCAAGGGAGCTTGAAACTTTGCCCTTACAAAGTAGATTTGAGTCAGCGAGTCAGCGCGACCAAAGTCGCTACTCTGAAAGAGCGGAGCGTCTGGGTCGTTGCATCCGCTCCGGAAGGGGGAGGGGGCCAGGATTCCGCGCCGCTGACATGCCTAGCCATTACCAGTGGCGACGCCCTAGCCAATTGACGAAGTCTAGTAGTAGATCCCAGCCACCTAATAGACGTCCCTTACTGGCGCACTGTTGCTTATCTATTGCTTACCATTGGTCAAGCTCAGGATAGGGGAACCCGTTCATCAGCCCCTCCCCCGTTCACCGTCCCCCATCATCCCTCGTTCACCATCCCTCATCATCCCTCGTTCATCATCACTTGCTCACCATCACTCGCACTCTTGCCATCATGGCGTCTTTCCTGGCGCATCAATGTGCTTGTGGCGAAGCGTTCCCCGACGAGGCATCGCGTTTTGCTCACCTTTTGCACTACGAGGCAAGTCAAGAGACCGTGTGCATCAGGCGTTGCTAATTTTACTCTAAGAGCTGGCTTCAATCGCTCTCCAAAGAAATAGAGCTTTGCAAAACACACAAAGCGATACAGGGTCAACAGCCGGGCTTAGATGTAGGTTTTCTGCATAACAGCTATCTCAAGGGGGTTGGCTGTCCGTTGAGCAATTTGAGCACCTGCAATCAGTCGTTTGACTCGAGATCCGATTTATTTCAACATTTTGGACAACGTAAGTTCAGGATTCATACCCACAAACGCTGCTTACTAAGAAGTAGACATCGAGTGCGAAGAGGTGTGTGTATTCTGCTATAGTCGATTCCATCGCGCCAGCGAATACATCAGTCACACCAGACTTCGATGTTCGGAGCAGAGTTGGACGAACGATGAAGTCAAAATTCTTTACGTCGAAGCTAGTCGCAGAAAGCTATTCGCCAAAATCGAGAGAGAGCTCGAGTCAGCAGTGCTCCAAGAGCAGCAAGCAAATAGCGGCGTTCCTGCGCTCAAAGGGGCTGCGTTGGCTCTGCCCGATACTACAGAAGTCGATCCGCGTCGCTCCGTCCCGGCTGCTCGGGGAGCATCTCAGTCAATCTCAACGGAGGCACCAAGACTGGCACCTCCATCGTCCTTTCCGCCATCTTCAGGCATCGCTTGCCCGACTGTATATTCGACAACATTCAATGTGACCTCGCCGCATCTCTCAGCACAAGCGCTGAATGATAAGACAATGCCAGAAAGCATAGGGACGGATGCATTGACCCAGTCATCACATGGCCAACTCGCACCTTTCGTAATGCCATCCAACCAGCAAGCAACCCAGCCGGAGCCGGACTTCGATTTCTTCTTCACCCAACCCCACGTGAGCGCGTCTTTCGATGCACCCGTCTCGATCATCAACACAAACAGATCTTTGTCCCAGGTAGCGCGAAGATGTAGAGAAGTTCCAGACCCTAGAGAATATAGCGTTCCAATCTGTCCCGACCCTCGATGCGCGACATGTCTTTCCATGGGCGAGGAGGTACGTGTCGCTGAGCTCACTGACAAGTCGCGCAGATGCTGATACTAAGTTCAGTGGCAGGAATCAGGTTGTCAAAGCTGCCATCTGTCGCAGCCGCTTCGTTCTCTTACCACCCCGGTATGTTTTGAAGAAAAACAGATTTTCCAGAAGTGTAAGCTGCTGCTTTGTTTCCGGTCACCAGCCTCCTTTCACATAATCTTTAAGGAGTACAAAATGTGTGCCGCTGCATGATCCGCAATTAATGGTTTTCAAGGGGATGATGAGCACTATAAATGCCAAATTCGATGGCCTGAAGTACAAAGTCTTTCATCCGAAGGCTTGCTACACTTCGAGGTATTTCATTTCAGCGGCACTATGCCTCTCAAGGTGCCTGGCGAGAAGTTCATATCGACAAATCCAGAGCACAAGAGAACCTGGGAGAAGTCTAAAGGTGGCTGGGTGGGTCGGCCAACAGATGCAGTGCGCCTAGGTGATGAATTGCGAGCGGTGCGTCAGTCCTTACACACTTACATTTCAACGTGCCGTGAACAATGCGTTGCAATGTCATCCGGGGACAATATACTGCAAGAGTTGTGGCAACTACTCCGAGATGGTTCGATCCCTACTGACAAGAAACCTATGCTACCTATGGCATTTGATCTTTGGACGGCAAATTGTATGCTAATGGAGGGATGGCGAACCTATCGCTCCTTCCAACACCTCAACGGATCATGGTTACCTTTCCAAACGAACTCAACACCGCGAGTGCTGCAAAACCAACTGGACCAAATGCTTGAGGGCTACGTTGTGGCGCGTGAGAAGGAACTTCTCAATCGCCTTCAATCGGCAGTATTTCAGCGAGAATCCTCGTCTAGACTTGATGTCATTCTGACTATCGTCCTTCTCCTGAAGATAGTTGAGAAAGACATGTGGAGGTTGCTGTTTTGGATTCGGCACCAGGCCAGAGTAAGTCTCCCCCGAAATGCAGAGGGTACGTTACGAACCTTATAGATATACAAATGGCGACACCCTTTGAAACCGAAAGAACTTATCGAAAAGTCCATTTTCTTCTCCAGACTGCTGATTGGGTACGCGGACTCGGCTGCCGTGCAAGACCTCCCACCTGGTCTATTCAGACACATCATGCTCGCCAGTAAGTGGTAGTGGTGCCGCAGCTAACATCTGCTAATTACTGGCAGACGATTCCAAGCCCCGATACGACGAGATGAACAGCGAGAGTGTGAACGGGAGTTTGGTGCCCTTGCTTCTTCGCGTTCGCAGGGATGTTCCAACCTATACGACGACAGTAGGATCACTGCTTGGTTAGAGCGTATAGATAGGGGTTATTTCCATATGTAGTCGTTATCTCTAATGCCAACTGCTCATATGTCCCACTGTGGCACAAGAACCGGCGCGCGATTACATCATTATCTGTCACGTGACGGCAAGGGTGGGATGCTTGTGTGACCAAAACGATGCTTAGGTGCGGGGTCTGTCCCTTCATTTCAACTCTTCCATCGTACATTACCTGTTATCTACGTTTCTTGGTCGTTCATTGGAACGACTCATTACGTTCATTTCGCCATGGAAAACCGAAGATCATCGCTCCCTTTTCTTGAGGTCATTGAAGGCCTCAAGAACCTCAAACGGGCTGGTTGGGTAGAGCGCGAGGTGCCCGAGCCGGAAAGTGTGAGCGATCACATGTACCGAATGGCTTGGTTCTGCATAGCGCACCCTGAAGTAAATTTTGGCAGCTATTGTAGGCTTCCGAAGCTAATGAAGATATAGCTGGAAAGTGAACATATGGACAAGGCCATCCTGATGTGCTTGATCCACGACATTGGCGAAACTACGGCAGGCGACATTACCCCGGCTGATGGCATCGATGCCAGTAAGAAAGGGTGCTTCAGCTTATGTTCGAGGCTCTTCTAACAGCTGCAGAAACCAAACATATCCGCGAGAGGTTGGGGGTTGAGTTTTTATCTCTCTTGCTCAAGCCGTCAAATCCTTACTGGGCTTCGAAGATGGTTGAAGTATGGGATGAATATGAGGAGGGGACGACCAGAGTTGCCAAGCTTGTTCACCAGATCGACAAGCTTGAATGTTTACACCAGGCTTTGATCTACTTAAAGCGTCACCAAGGCAAAACCGACTTCCAAAAGTCTTTTGCGAGTTTCAAGGAGCTCCGCAAAAAAATCTCCGACCCTTGGCTCTCGGCAGATGCGGATGCTATCCTGGGCGAATGGAATGCGCTTACAAATAAGGAGCAGCAAGCATCGACAAATGTTGTTTTTGTGATTGGTACGTGCTACCGCTTCCTACGATTTTGCTCGTTTTGACATGGATAGGCGGCCCTGGCGTTGGGAAAGGAACTCTGTGCGCTCGCATAGCCGAGGAGCTCAATTTTACACACGTGTCCGTGGGCGACTTACTGCGGGAGGAGAAAGACAATCCCGCGTCAGAGTTTGGTAGCTTCATCCGGAAGAGCATCCAGGAGTCGGTCATTGTTCCTCCCTATCTTACCATGAGGCTGTTGAAAGACAGAGTTCAGGCTATACAATCCCAGGACCGAGGAGTTCTCGTTGACGGCTTTCCGCGGAGCATCGAGCAGGCTGTTGCATTTGAGAGAGAGGTAGGTTACAAGATCCAGATCGACATTGTATTGCGCTAAGCCTCTGCTAGATCTCTGACACCTACATGACCGTATGCCTTGAATGCTCGCCTGAGACCATGATCAGGCGTGTTCAAGCAAGATCAGGCTCGTCAAATCGGGACGACGATGATCTTGTGACATTGAAGAAACGACTCGCTACCTTTTCTAGCACCAATGATGCTATAGTCAAGTACTTGTCAAAGAACAAGATGGCGAGAGTAAGTGAGTGTACTCTGGTGATCTGCAGCGTAACTGAGCATTCTTAGGTTGATGCCGCACGATCTTCGGACGAAGTGTTTGCCTCGGTCAAGGAGCTTCTCGTTCGTGAACTATGACAACACTGCGTTTCATCTAGTTCTTCTTTGTCAATGGGGATATGCCCAAGTGGGACTTTATTATATACTCCTCCTCAAACCCGGCTTTTTATGCACACGAGCCTGTTCACCGTGCATCTCATCTGTTCACCCAAACCCTTCCTTATTTCTAGCAAGAATGCAAATATCTCGACTACTCCACCGAGAGAAACTCCAACCCTGATGCTGGGAACATCGATCTTCAGTTAAACTAGGGAGGTTGCTGGACGGCAACATGATCTCCAACACTTGCTCCGAGACTTTTCGGTCAAGTTCGAAAACGACCTGACTGGAATCGAGGCGAATTACTGGGAAACCCTAACTACTTTGTGTGAAACCGGAACATCATTGGTAGAGGGCTTAAGAAGCACTTTCGATTGCTAGCAAGTGTTGGCCGGCGAATGGCAGGCTCTAGTGTACACTAGTCAACCTGCTTGAATCTAGGAAAGTTGGAAAATAGAGGCTCCAGAGTGATCAACTGAAAGATATTGCGACAAGCCTTTCTCATGCCTGCCTCAAGATGAAATTATTGATATCTTTGCCCATATGGGCGACAACTCTTCGGTGCGATGTTGAGAAACTGCTTCTGGGCCGGCTTTAGCTGTATTAACTCGAGTGCCCTTTGGTCTGCGCTGGTAGGTGCAAATGTAGTGAGGGGACGGATAAACATGCACTGATCCTCCAGGGGGCGAAACCAGGCATCCTATGGGCGAGGCCGCTCAATCTGACATATTACAAAGATTTCGCCACAGACAACAACTGGCAAACTGTGGACCGCGCTGGGACCAACATGTTTGGCCCACGGGTCTACCCACTTGATCTGGATCCTCCCGGGCGCCAACGCGCTATTGAGCGCATAGTCATTGGCCCACAAAGGCGTGAGGGGTAAGATTGACAGCTGCCTGCGATGCTCTCTCTGCATTACTGCTGCCTAGACCAGGCACAGCGGATTTAACCAGGCGTGGGTTCGCCGTGTTACACAGAGGCAGTGGCCGACCTAGAAGAGATCGCCAACATTTACTTGAGTGGTTGAGTCACTACTCGGCGGGATTCCACTGCATTCTGAATGTATCATGCAATACATCTGCACGAGGCTGCCCGTTGTTGGTGCCCTGGAAAGGGGGTTGTGTGTCTCACGCTTTTGTTGCTGTGGCCACGCGTTGATACAACGGGCGTCTTCCCAAAAAGCAATGAAACTACCTGAGGTAATGATTTGCGAATGGAAGCCCTTGAACAGGCTGGAGGTGTACGGAAAAAAAACAGTCGAATGAACGTAGTGAGCCGAAGGAGTACTATGGGTCTCCTTCGCTGTTTCTTGCCGCTTCCGATGGAAAATGCAACGTTCTGCACAGGCTCCTAGGTAACTCGTACAAGCAAGGAATGTGCTACACGAGACTCTGCCATCATCAAACAGTCACGTGCTATTCACGTCCGCACTCTTCCGCTGTACTGGTCCTGACGCGACTTCGCTCCAAAAACACCTCATCCTCCAGCCATTTTCCGAGCAGGCGAAGGTATATCTCAGATGCCAAAACACGTGTTCTGTGAAAGTATTTCCCCTGAACAAATAATGGGCATTAAAAGTACTGTTTGATTGCGAGAAGCGACGTAAGCACTGGTGTAAAAGGACGTTGTAGAAGGTACAAGGTATTAGGAGGTAGCGCTCGTGGAAGAGTTGTTTCGGTGGATACGGAACACCCATGCTCGATCATTTGGTACAAGTCCTATCGGGACCATCCCCGCCCTTGGCATGGTCGAAACGGCCCTCTAGTGTGATTGGGCAGTGTACGAAGTATCTAGGGGGGTGCGTTTTGCCATAACGAGTTTTTTGTATGCACAAGATACTTGGCAGCACGGGGTGATGCCCCATACACCATGCAGAGAATCGGTCCTCATTCGTTGCCAGCTCGCTCACCGCTCCACATTAGTCACTCCGAAAAGTGGACATGGCTCCCAGCCAGCGCATGGCACCGAGCCTTGTTGAAGTCGGGAGTCACAGCTATTTAATATGATGTTCACTTCTGCACTTGAGTCAAGGCATCGTTAATACAGAAGATGGCGGCCCGGTTCCCCATCAAGAACTCGATTCGGGAAATCGACCGTAATACTTGGTCAGTCGGCGAACGACTACTCCTTTCTCGCACGCCCACCGCACCGGCCGACCGTTGGTGGAGCGACGGCTGTGGCTCCTTTTACAGCATTTCCGAGCTGGCCGGAACACCACCTCCATCTCGGCCGTTGTCAACATTGTCCTCGAACTTTGTACGACTTATCTACGAAGCCGGCGACAGCTCTGCTGTCTGGGCGATCGGGGACGCCTTCCTCAAGATTAAGAGCTTCGATCATCCGGAGACGACTCGGGAGCATGTCACACTAGCCGCCGTACATGCCATGCGACGCAGTTTCACTATTCCGAACGTTCTCTTCCACGACGAGTGGGCTGGCCGTCGATACTTGGTTCTGTCCAAAATCCCCGGGTGCACCCTCGCCGACGCATGGAAAACAATGGATGAGGCGACGAAATGTCAGTATGTCGATCGGGTGGTGGATGTTTGTAATGAGCTGGGTAAGCTTCGGAATGATTGTATCGGCGGCATTGATGGGAATCAGCTCCTTGAACCGCTACTTGTCAAACGCGATGCGGTCGTAGATTTCAGTCACGACAACCTACTAAAGGCTTGCGAGGCGTTGGGTATGGACTGCTCTAATTTTGTCTTCTATCACTGCGACTTGGGGCCGGGCAACTTAATCATAGATAGCGATGGATCGCTTGGTGTCATCGACTGGGAAATGGCTGGCTTTGTGCCTAAGGACTGGATCAGGACCAGATTCTGTATTTCTGGCGGTTTGGATTTACCTGGCACGGGTGATGAAAGGGTCGATTGGAGACGGCGTATGCAAAGACGACTATCTACGGAAGGATATCCCGAAATTGCTGACGAGTGGATGAGTTGGTGGAGGGGAGGATAGATTTATTCCTGGGTGCCACAAACACATCTCTAGACAATTATATCATCTGAAATTTCTTCTCGCTCTAGCATTCGTCTTCCAACCTTGTCCGTGTCTTTCTGGCGTCAAGGTTATTACCATATTTGCAAGTTCGGTAAGGCACGAGAATAAACGTACGAAAGTCGCTTATTTGATAACCTGAGCGGGGGTCTGCTCGCAAGGCTTGCCATCCTTCATCCCACCACACTTGGTTGCTCCGGACATGTTGTTGTAACCGCACACAGGGCAGTTGACGGCGTTAATTAGTTCCGAGAGAGTGACTGCTGCCATGATGGCTGAACTTTGAGGCCAAATAGAATTCTGCAAAGATTGAGTAAATTTGTCGGAATGTTGCAGTATGGTATATGAAGGGTGAATGAGAGCTAGATTCTGGTCCGACCGGAAGTGTTCTGGAGGCTCTATTTAAATACCCAGCCCCTTAAACTATCGTGATTATCATGGCCACAGTCATCACCAACCTACAACCTGCAGCAGCGCCTACCAAGCAGGCTTGGTGATATCCAACCCGAGTGGCACGATTTCAATTACTCCGGCAAGACGTAAAGAGCTATGCTGACCACCATCAACCCACCTTTCTGCCTCACGTTCACTGCTTCTGTGAGTGTCTAGATTAGGCATTGGAGCCCAAGTCCCAGCCTTGGATTGCCCGGAGGATCTGTCAGCGATTGGCCGTCTGAAGTAAGGTGGGAGGCGCAGGGAGGGACATGTGATAGACGCCAGCTAGCGTGGGACATGTCCTACGAATGTGGGGGAAGGGGGGCGTTCATGCATATTCGCATGACAGGTTCGACGATTGAGATGTGCCTAGGTAGCTAGGAATCCAGAACTAGGAATATTGGGCATACGCCTAGTTACCCACTAATGCAGTGTAGACCCAGTGGGCAGGTGGGGAGTTTTGTGGGCTGTGCGCTGCTTTTTCACCCTGGGCTTAGCGCCGATACAGTGGTGAACTTCTGGGGCAGCTGGCTGCAGAAGCCATCACTTGCTGTGTGGATTGCTCGCCATCCTTTTTGCTCCAAAGTGCACATGACAGGAAGATCATGAGGAAGCCTAGCAGCATGGTATGTAATGCCTTGCTAGGCTTTCACCGTCGGTCTTTATTAAGTATCATATTTGTGTTTAACGTGTGCTCGAAATGCATGAACACCAAAATACTATGAAGTATTAGTCAGAAGATGGATTGAGAGGCAACGTCTACTTGTGGGATTGGAGCCGCGGGATCAATATTCCGAAGTAGGTACGGGTCGACCGTGTTCGTAAGGGGAGGTCTACTCTGGGCTAGCTACCGCCATCAAGAGCCTTTTTCGGATGAATGCCGGCTTTTGATTCTAGGTTCATCTGTTTCCTCCCTTCTCTCGCTTCGTTTATCCGTATTCCTAGTAGAATGTCGCCTGTCCGAACGAGGTTCAAGACATGAAGTCTGTTGCCTGATGCCCGTAATCGATGGAGTATTTCGATAGCTTCGGTTTCAGGCCGTGAACAAAGGTTTTCAACTAGCTCCAAGAGCTCGCTGTTCACTTCTATAAGCCTTTCGAGACTATCCTTGATCGCCTGGCGGGGCGTTGTTTCGGGCTCTGTGTCCCATCCACAACCGATATTCAAGTTCGAACATCGCGAACAAGTTGGTCGAACTCCGGAACACTGTAGCGAGAAGGGGATAAGTCTCTGGCCATATTTATCCAATTCTCCAGTGACTGCGGCTACATGGGAAGCTTACCTTGATTTTCCGCTTACGGCACTCAAGACAAGCTGATGGTACCGTCTCTCTTCGCTGTCTATGTAATCTAACGCGAGATTCGCAGCTGGCCCGTAATGGTTGTCGGAAACTGGTTGCCATCTCAGTATTCTTCGAGTTCGGGTTGTCTTTTTGGTCATTATCGTGTTGCCAACGTGGCATCTTGTGAGTGAAAATAAGGAAACGTGAGTATATGTGTAATCGCGGCATTGCCAGAACCTACTATCGCAGAAGTATGACGAGCGAATCGTCCATCAGCGTCTCGTAGCTACTACATATTCCTCCTCCGCGGCAATACACAGCTTATACACCCTGCAGGCATGATGCTGATGGAGGAGACACTCTTGCCCTTCTAAGTTACATTAGCGTGGCTGGGCATCTGCCAGAGACCGTGTGCCTCAGGGGCAGACCGGCTCGGCCTACCTCTGGCGGCTACGTCTCATCTATGGATTGCTCCCTCGTTTATTACCATGGCATATAACTTCAGTCTATAAGGTAGTCTATTGGCTGCAGCCTATCAACGCCAAAGATTCACAGAGTCATTGAGCGTCCCAATTCTCATCAGGGATATACATTTAGCAACATCAGGGTTTCTTCAGGGTTTTGTGATGACTGCTAAGTGATTGGGCCTCTGCATCTCTAGCAGACACCGGAGTACACTTCAAACAGTCTGATAGGTAGTCATCATTCAAGGTTGAAGACAAGTATCGGCTCATCCGGCGTTCTATTCCAATGACAGCTCAATCCACAGGCACACTCTCAAACTGCATAGCTCTGACTCACGATATGCGGACGAGTCGAATGTATTGACGAGCCTTTCCGGTTATGGTCGTACTAAGGCTTCGTCACGTCTTCATCCTTGCGGCAGCATGTCCGCAAATGTAATGCGGATGCGGAACGACAGGCTGAGCATTAACCCTCATTCCCCCTTCCTGATCTGTTGGTGTCTAGTCGTCATGCTGCTTGCTGCATGTCACCCATTACTTTGCTTGCCGAGCGCAATACTGCAACCATTGACGATGCTGCAGCCCATACTTCCTCCCTCTCCCTCTCGCTCAGTTAGCCAAGGCATGAATCACACTGGCGAGTCACATCTGCGGACATCTTCGACACGTCAATCATGCCTTCGGGGTGTCGCGAGCGCCTAGGCCCATGATCAAAAGTATATAAACCCACGATCGGACTGATGCAGAATAACTGTTCTCTCTGTCTCTATCTTTATCTCTTTCTCCATTTCTTCCTTTCTTCCATTTCTGCATCGCCCATATAGCAAACGCGAAAGATGTCGGAGCTCACGGGCAGTGACCCAGCCATGGCCAGTACGCCAGAGTCTGCAGCCAACACAAACACCGATATACCCCAAACACAAGGATCGGACTTCACGAACATTCCAGAGGCAATCCTTACCTCAGAGCCAGGCATCAACAAGTCAGAACCGGACGATGATATGATACACCCTGAAGTCCTTGCGACTATGCAGTCGGTCTTCAAAGAAGAGGTGGAGGCCCACATGCCGGAATTGTCATCCGCCTGCCCGGAGTCAGTCACAGATTTGACGCCAGAAGTCATTGCAAAATACCTGGCTCTTCACACGAGAGATATGGCACTTGTCTCCATGGAAAATCCCAGCCCAGCATGCAGTCAGCCAACAACACTTATACGAAGCTGTGCACAGGAGCCAGAAGAACTCCGATTGTTCAAGGCTGAGGCACATGATTACACCTCTCCGATTGAGCGGCAGCTGAGAGTCCACACTACCGATTTAGGAGAATTTACCGGGAAGATGATCTCCTTTGCAACAAACATGTCACAACAAGCAGACCCTAGTCACCGTCCATTGGTTAGGTTTGAGAAAATCTACAGCTTGCAGCCTTATCAAACTACTGATCATCTGGCGGGACCGGCGCACCCTCTGACTCACTGCCTGTTGTCTCTCGGGGCTACGCTCCCCTCGGAACTTTCGTGGCAATCCGATTGCAAAAGATCAAGGGTCACGGTCAACAAACAAACCGGAACATGGATATTCATTGAATACAGGGGAATCCATGGCGACTACTTCATCTGGATGGATCGTGAAGTTGGAAAGGGTTGGAAGCTAGGTCCTCTGTACGTTGAGTTGAGAATTTGAGTCTATGTCTCTCTTTGGGCTACGGAAGTAGGAGCTAGGGTGGCTGGATTCAACACCGTCACAAGCATAGCAGATTGTAATAGGAGCCTGAATAACCATGGCTGCCTATGGGCTATTTTACTTACTTCCTCGTTAGACTGTGGTAAAGTTCAACACATAACCCAGTAACATGTATGCAGTACGCCAAGTTTACCCTAACTGCATGGGATTATCTTGTTTTCCAGTCACAATTTCATCCACATGTTTTGTTGCCCTGCAGAAATTTTCGCTTCGTATGTGTGATTTGAACTTGAAGGATGAGTGCTGAGAATTCTGGTTAGGGAAGTTCTCCGACTTCTGATTCATTATGTGCGAGTATTCCTGAAGTTAAGACAATCGAAATGGGGTGTTCATGGAACAACTTGAACGAACCCACATATTCCATAACATCCAGCCTGTTGCTGTTAGCACGCTGCACTAGAGGGATGAGATCACTGTCCGACGAAGCTAATGATGCTGCATGGCACTAAAGCTATGCGGGACTGACAGACAGTTGCATGGCCACAGGGCCCAGATGAACCCAGCACCAAAACATTGGAGCCCATGACCTAGGTATCACGGCGTCGCGCTAGCGCGAGCGTCAAGAATGGTTGGTCGAATGTTGTCATTTGGTCGAGGCTCTCCTTGCCCCTCGACTTCGTCAACAGGCAACCCAACAGCATGTCCGACGCCGCCTAGATGTATACGCACGCCACGACATCCACTACTCGGTCAAGAGGTCCTGTTATCGCAAACATGCATGCCCTGCCGATGTGGCCGTCATCGTTATTTCTGCCCTGGCTGGGTCAAAACCCTTGGCGCTCTTTATCACATCAAGTCCCGGATATCCACGTCCACACCACGCCACATCTATCGGCAAGTCCTTTGTGTCTGCCAGGGGTGGCTGGCAGCAGCATCGGCTAAGCTACCTTCGCTCTGGAGCGCTAAATATACGGTGATCTATCATCCAATCTTCTCGGCTGTGACTTTGTTCCAATCGCTGCGGGCGTCTTGACGTATTGAGGTATACTACCCCCGGTGCCGTCTTGACAAATCGTTCGGGTTTCCATGCTTGACAAAAACATGTTTCCAGCCAACCTCGTCCCATAGAGCAGGGGACTCATGCACAGAGCTGGCCAGCCTGATTACTCGTGTTGTAGAGAATTCTCTGGTAGCCAGACTCATATAATCTCTCTGCACACCTATAGAGATACATAGCACATATACTTACCTCCTTAGCATCCGGGCCCAACCCCCTAACATCGCGGTTACACTAGTCCACCGGACCTTGCTTTGATTCCTTTTACTGTTGTAAGGTCTATCAAAACAAGTCACATTATTTTCTTCAAGGACGAAAAAGCTTGCCCATTTGTCATTGCTCTACTGTCAGCCTCCCACCTAGGTACGGCAGGGTCGTATGAGACACGAATCTGGCGTAGTCCCTGCCTTGAGGCAGACCAAATGACCTAAAAATTGATTAGAATGGCGGCGGAATGAGCTCGTGAGTGACTGTGGGCTGCACCAGAGATGGCACGAAAGTACCTGGACACCACTATACGGCTGTTATGACTTGATCAATGATAGAAGGTGTGGTTTCTGACCCGGAGTCTACGCAATTGGCTAGCACACCAGAAGCATTGAGACGTTATCGCATGCATGAAGGTTTGATGAGTCACTGGATAGGCTGACCACGAGTACGTAGATGTAACCAAGACTGGGCGGCTGGGAATAGTCTGATGAAAGTCCGAGGCGATGCACGATACTACCTAGTCGAACAATATCTCTCGCCGCCATTCAAATGGTCTCAAAAACATGTGAGCTTTAACGCGAGTGGACGGAAATGTATACGTCCTGGAGATCATGAGCTCACAGCAGACGGCAGAGACTACGACGGAGACCACGCTTGATGTAGTTAGTCTGGCCCCGCAGCCTTGTTCCCACCGAAGTGATACATGGTGATGGTCGACAACTGATTGCTCCAGCTTGTATTACGAGACCGAATACCTACCAAGTATGCATGCAGTTCGGCAACGGTCCTCACATGCGCGCCCTGCTACAGGAGGGGTGTGATCGTGGGGTAAGTGGTTCAGGAGAAGCACACTTGTGTGGCCATTCACAGGATGCTTTTATACGCCCTTCATAGGACGTGGAGCCGGCATGCAGTAGACTCAGAAAGGCACGAGAGTGACTACCGCCGGCCAGCGTAGGACAATGAGTGTCCCGGGACGACGGCCCTATCATGGTCTGCTCCCATCGGGAGCCCAACATGTCGCCTCTTGTCTCTACTCGCCTTGGATCTAAGACCGTGGACGTGAGCCTGTCACTAGAAATCGATCCACTATTTGGACGAGCCGGCGCCCTTTCCTTGTCCAGCCTTCGTCGTTTCTGCCGAACTTCATCCTCCAAAGGTGACTCGTCGGTATGAAGACCCCGCTTCGCGCTTCTCCCACTTCGTGACCCGTTGGCGGGGCGTTACGCTTGTGCCGTCATCTCGGAAGTGACTAATGGCATTTGGTCCTCTACCCATCGAACGAGTTCGGTGTGTCGGGCGTCATTCTTACGCGCATCGACATACTCCGATGTGGCGCGAATGAATCTTGTAATGTGATCGTTCCTAGCCCGAACGTCACGCGCTCGTTTCTCTGCGTCCAAGATGCTTTTCGTGCTGTTTTGCAACATCGCGACTCGTCTCTGTTTGGGGATCTTTGTTCGGTCTGGATGTTCTTGGGTTAGGGCAAAGACATCCCGGGCCCGTGCCTTGGCTTTCTCCACGTTCTTTTGAGTCTCTTCCTCCTCCGATCCGCGTTCCATGGGCGACTCCAATGTCCGTAAGAACTCCTCCGTCTCGTGCGGCCTGAGTATGTTCAAGGCCAGAAGCTCTTGCCAAGCTTTGTCGTAAGCCGGCTGGAGGCGTTCGATAGTATTTCGATATTGGTCGAGCCACCAGTATTCGTAGTTGAGGTACTCGATCCACGTTATCAGCTTATCTTGCCTCCCAGGATCAACACTCAAATCAAACCGCTACGAGAAACCATATGATGACAGACGACGCTTCGCAGCACCAACATAATCCTCAAAACCTTTACAGCCGTGCTCCCTGCATAAGTATCGCTGTCGTCTGCGCAGCGACTGGTGCAGTTCCCATTCGCCTTGGAGGCACGCTGGGTTTTCCTGAATCTCGGCTATCCTCCTCAGACCCGCCTCCTTAGTATATTCGGTTTTTGCGAAATGTTTGTCTTTCTCGATATATGCAAGAAAGCCACCGTCGTCGTCTTGCCGACCCCGGTTGTCATTTTGCCATTTGCCGAAGTCTTGCCACCTGGAAAGCTGCCTCTGAAATACAGTCTCAGGGCGATTTCCAGTAGAAGTGTTCAACCAGGGCCGCAGCGTGTCGACGAACGAGCTAGGGTCATTAAGAACAACTTCAAGCAGGTCTATTGCGTATAGCGGCCGGCCGCCAGCCCTGACGAGACTTTGATATGATTCCCTCTCGTATCTTATTTTCTCGGCCTCGGGACCAAGGACAGGGCTTAGGCATTCGGAATCGTCGGCGAACCGTACATCGCGCGGCGGCACGCCGCCAGCAAAGGCTTGATGCAGGCGGGCATCGAGCAAGTCCAAATCGAGGGAGCGGGAAAACGTCGTCGGGCTTCGCGCGAGCGCTTTTTCTTGGGTCCTACGTCAATTAGCAGTGGTCCCAGAGCTGTGTGGCCAAACTGACCACAACTTACTTCAGTCTCTCACCGAGACGAAGCCGGTCAGCAATGGGGAGCGTTTCCCAATCGTCTACAGGCAGCTCGTAGTTTCCACCGGGGATGTAGTGGCGTGCCATGAAATCGCGTAGTTGTTCATCATCCATATTGCACAGAGCATCGGCAGTAACCGCCACCAGCGTGCTGCCGTGATCCATCGTGTTCGCGAAACACAGCATTTGTGGGTGACGAGGGAGACGATGGAGTAACGTAGAGGCGCATTGAAGTGACGCGGAAGCGGCTCGCTACAGATTCCGGTCGTCACGTAAATGAGTTAGCTACACAAATGCGGGGGTAAATCATGCTCACCGGGGTACTTCGCTAGACCCCATTTCCCTGCAACACTGCTGGTACCCTTGTGAGGACAACGACCCTTGTCGGCTGACCAATGGGCTGCAACTTCACGTCTTTTACCACAGTTCCAAGTTAAACACTCCCAATAAGTAACAGTCGACAGCAAGTCTACCCTGAGGTGAGAAACAAATTCTGCTTTTATCCCTGGGTACGATGACTGACAACAAATAGTTCTACCTTCTTCAATCACTCAGAGAAAGTATTGATCGCGGATGCGAAGAATAAGCAAGCGCCGCGTCAGCTTTCTACAAAATCACTTGTGGGCCTTGTATTACTAAATCTTCAGTTGAGGCATGCGGGTTGGAAATATCTCACTGCGAATCATTGCCATCACTAACGTTATGTCGCTTCGAGTAATCCCCATGCTTGCTGGCAACGTGGCACGGGCCACAGTAATTGGGAGCACCACTATGGCCCGTGCACTCCAAATTCTAGGATTGAAGCGCCCGCATCAATAGGAGTTCTTTGATGCTATCGAGCAGCAGTTAGACAGGCAGGGGTCATTGTGTGTGTATTCATGAGTATGACGAATGAATGGCTATGGAAAGAAACCCCATATCTATATAATGAGTGTACGATCCCCTTGTATAAGGATACCCTTGCTGGCCTTACTCATACCTCTAGTTAAGCATAAGTCAGGTCGCTCGAGGTGAAACAATTACCGTAGCGAATGTGCTGGGGCAGTCTGACAGATGTTATGGACGTCGCCTGCTGCATGCACGCCTCGTGATGAAAAGCTGAGCAACCCTTCGGTTCAAGCCTCCAACTCTATATCCATGACCCTGTTAGATAGGAATCCAGCCAATAGTCGACCAATGATAACCTCAGGGATGACTAGTTTTCAATCTGTTTCTATCCCTCCTTAGCATGCTTGCTAACTAATGCGGCCAGCATCGACGCCACGACGTCTGCTACTACTTTCGACACTTGCCCGTTAAGATTTATACTATTATACGTATCAACTGGGAAATGATTTATCTCAAAGAACACATGCACGGGATCACACAAGACATCGCAATGGGCATTGGGATATCGTCTAATACACTCTATCTGTAATGATTGTCAATCTCCCGAAACAGATTCTGATACACGTCGCTTGACAATTGAAAGTGCTTGAACAGCTGATTAGCACCTTTTTCGTCGGTGTAATATCCTCCGTTAGGGCCGCTGGGTACCCAGTCCTTCCGTATGCTGGGGTCATTCTGAAGGAACTTGGAAACGGCCATATATGATACTTTGCCCCCAACCCGACAAATATCCAAGGCATGCACCATGCGGTTTTTTGGCTGAAACCTGACAGATTTCCTACCAACATGTATTCGGAAGCGCGGGGCGGGGTCGCATGGCAGAGGTGGGAAATGTCGTGACGGTTTAGAAGGACTTATGCCGATGCTGTTCTGAGCCTGATTGTTTGTGATATCGGATCTAATAACTCGTAGTGCAATAGTCGATGCTGTACCTGCGCGGAGATCAGCGCAACACATTGTTGCATCATCCAGTAGAATATAGCTGCCTTGAATGTAGTGTGCTCCTTTGAGAATGGTTGCGTCACAATGCTTCTTTGCAATCCAGTCGAATCCCCGGCATCGAAGGACTTTGCCTAATGCGAGTAGAGATGTTATGTTGACTCGCTGCCACTGTGGGTGATATCCGATCCATTGCTTGTTGTAACGCATCACTGTGTAACCAGGCGGACAAGTGAGCCCTGGGTTCAGCTCATATTGATTGGTGAATACGTCCTGCTCTTCATCCTCCCTGGGTGTGTTTTGGCTAGCGTCTCGTGTCAAGTCGCGTTGTTCCTGGGCGTTCCATCGGAAAGATGGTAACTCTGAAGCTTCTTCGTAGCTTGCTCTCCGGGAAACCTTTGTATCAACTCTCTCGCCTGTTGCTCTCTGATTGGCGGCTCCGAAAAGTAAGGATTCGAGCGGATCATCAATGTTGTCGAGGAAACGTACCGCCTCCGATAGCGACGGATCTTGGCCGTTCTTTTGCCGCTTCGTATGCCTCTCTGGGGGATTTGATCCGGTCTCATTGCCGAGCACAGCAGTAGCATGACGCGGAATTTCTGTGTCTGGCACATTCCACGAAGCGGTCTCTTGCGGTCCTTGTCTTGCAGACGAGGCTCGTATCGTGTCTTCGGCTACCAAGTCATCCCCTGACAATGCCGCATTTGCTGTCTCTTCTGTAGAGCATTTGCTGAGTTTGGCTGAGAAAAATGGATCGCTGAGGGCTTCCTTTGCAGAAGGGCGTGCAGCCGGGTTGGGTGTAAGCAGGACTGAAATAAATTGGGATGCCGGAGATGAGGGCATGGATTGAAGGTGTTGCCGTACTTTATCGGGCCAGTTCCTCCAAGGCCGCCAATCTGCTGGTCCTTTGGGCACCTTGGGGAAAGATGGAAGCTTGTGGGAGTATCGTAGAAGAATGATCCCCAGAGACCATATGTCGACTTTCTCGTTGTATGCCTTCTCTAAGATTTCCGGCGCCGCGTACGCGGCCGTCCCACAACACGAAGCCTTGTCAGCCAGCTCGGCCAACGTGATTGCCAATCCAAAGTCGGTGAGCTTGGTAACGATAGGATACCGCGACATGACCATCACATTTGGGGGTTTGATATCTCGATGGACGATACCCCGATGGTGGATGAACTCTGCAGCTTTAAGTTGCTGCCGGATGGCTTCCCGTAACTCTGTCGAACTTGGACAACTGGCCTTGAATTCCTGTTCGAGATTCCGGCCATGAACAAGTTCCATCACGAGGAGAAGCGAGTCGCTTTCGATGATAAAGGCATGAAACTTGACGATGTGTTCCTAGCGAGCGAATTAGCCCCGGTTCATGTTATGGAAATGAAAGATCTGTCTTACATGCGTAATGCTGCGTAACAGCATCGCCTCCTCTAGTCGCATGTCCTTTTCTTTCCCAAGTTGCTTGACAGCAACCACATCGCCAGTGACTTGGTGTACCGCCTGGTATACATCACCATAGGCTCCAGACCCAACTTTATCTTGAAGTTGGTATGGTGACGCCCCCGAAGACACAGTGCTTGCGCTAGGCCCGGACGCCAACTCCAAGTTTCGAAGGACTGGGATTTGAGACGAGATTTTGGTGATAAATTTCGACAAGTGCGTATGATAATCGCGCCGATGTGCAGAGTGATCGGGGAGTCGGATCTCGATATCATACAACCCTAGCGGCACATGCACACTATCGTTTTCCTGGAGCGCTCGCTGGTGCCTCAAGGCTAGTTTCCCGAGACTGCGAGATCGAACGTTGGTTTTGTTGCGACTGTGGTTTCTCAAAAGGAGAACTCCATTTTCCTGATTTACCTGGATTGCGAATTGTTTTTTGCTTATCCCCTGCGTGGGGTCCTTGTCGAGGAGGACATCGCTGACAGCAGGGTCGCTGCCGAAAACAAATCCAATCCGGGCATCGATAGGTTCATGGTCTGTTGTAACTCGAAGAAAGGGCAACATCTCTGGGAGAGGGGCAGGTGTGATGTCTTGTTCTTGTCCATGATCGTCTTGCACGTCTATAGCGAGTGTCGAATTGTCGTCTGCCGCATAGGTCTGCGATTCGCCGCCGACGAAGAAATCTGCGTTATGCTCATCGCATAGAAAGAGATCGCGGTGAGAGTGGACGGTGAAGAGGGTCTTGCTCAGGAGGTTTTCGTCGTCCATCGCTTCGGATGTGCCCCGTTGGTGGATTGGCATTCAGATAAGTACGAAAGAACACAGCAACTCGGGTGTTCCTGTGCTGATGTACTAACCAGCCGTGTTTTATTCACCGTCTACTGATCATGCGCAATGGGAAGGAGGGGGTTCGGGGGTGACCCTCCACTCACTGGCCTCTCTGCATACCCCTGTCCGGCGGCTGCGCACGATACATGAGAGGACTCCACCCAAGTATAGAGTACATTGTATAGGTACTTTGCAAGTGATCCATGTCCAAGAACAAGTGGGGCTGGGAGCTCCCGTGGTGCACGGACGACTCGGCACGGAACATCCCCACACCGCAATCTGACGCGACCTCGATCCCACACATGCTCCGTCAACCTTTCCCGTTCGCATCCAGCAGCATTCTGCCTTCATCCACAACACCAGTGCCCCAAAATGGGTGAACCATCCGTCGAGCATCCGCTAACCAAAAGGAACCTCGAGAATTTCGGATACGAAGCCTTTTCAAGTCCTGCCTCATCAATAGACCTACCAGACGACAGGCTCGCACGTGCGAAGCGTCAGACGTACCACATTCTCTGGAGCTTGAATAAGATTGGCATAGAAGGCAAGCGAATTTTACAAGACGTAGACCTTTATGTTGTCGACTACGATGTCCGCTATCGAGGCGCGAAAAAGCCCACTCCCGATCTCGAGGATGTCGCCTTTTGGGACGCCAAATTACATGAATACGAACAAAAATACACCCCCATAATAAGGCTGGAACGGGCGAAGGGACGGGTGCGCGCAGCGATGACAAGTCTCCAGAGCTTTCGGCCAGAAGGACTCCAGGCTCTGGAACGGGACGAGCTCTATATTCCGCACGCCGGTGTTGTCCACTATCGTGGCTCGCGAGACAGTATGCCCGACCTTGAGGACCCAGCTTACTGGGAGGCCAGATTAGAATATTTTTCCAACTTATACAACGATCTTTTCCAAAAGAGTCGACCTAGACCTCCGTCCATATCGGAATTTGCATCTTCAGAATCGGCAGTGGAGGAGCAGGAGGCTGACGAGGCAATCAGGGAGGAATACCAACTCGGCTGGCACAGGAGGCAAAAGGACATACAGAGGTGGGCACTCGCACAATCCACGCGTAGGGACCAATCTAAGCACTTCACCACATCCTCTAACGTATCATAGCTATCGAGCTCACCCCACGCGGCAGTCCTGTCAGTCTTGCAGGTTCAGAAGGGACCGTTTTGAACACTGCTCAGAAGGGCCTGCTGCATACTTCGACGGATGCGCCCCCTCGATCGGATGGTACAAATGTGCCTTTATGGGCCACCCCTTCTGCAAAGCGTCTGAAGAGGGCAAGCTGTGATTTGGATACATTCCCAGTGCTCCAGCGTAGGGAAACAAACGATCGTCCCAATAAGCGTCTAAGGACCCAGGGGTATAACAAGACGATTCGTGTCATGGGGGAAACAAGCAGCGCATCTTGCGACCCGCCACCACACAACCTGGTAAACGTAAAGAAAGGAGCTGGGAAATCCCAGCGGACAAACAGCGGGATTCTAGGCGGCCATACGGAGCCTAGTAGCCTGGCCAAGCCGAGGAGGAGTCAGCGCATAGCAGCGCTGCCGAGGAAGAATTATCGCATATGATGGTCGAACGAGAGGCTGGCTGTGTTCTCTCCGCCTCGCCCTGGTTTCCTCTGCATACGTGGCTGCCTAATTAATAAGCGATCCATCCTGGGAAAACCTCCTATAAAGAAAATTCGTTGCCGTCTGATTACTATCAAGTGAGAATGATATCATTCTCAACACTTTGCAAGCAAATTCATTTCCTCTGGACATCGCTGGCAATTGTTCCCCAAAACTGCAACTGCATCTTCCGCTTTGTCTCCAAAGTGCGACGCAGCCCGATCAATGGCAGAGGTCCATTGAGAAGGTCATTCGAAATGTTGTCTCCATCCGCTACTGTCATACTACAAGCTTCGATGGGGACCCTGCTTGCTCCTTCGAGGCGACTGGATTCGTTGTGGACGCCGACAAAGGGTAAACTTACAGCCCAAATCAACTCTTCAAGGAGCAGATATGCTAATCAATGTAGGTATATCTTGACAAAAGCGCCCCGAAAAAGAATGGAAGACCTTATAGCGCCAAGTGGCAATTTGGGATAATCGAGTGGTAAAACGAGAGCTTCGGGAGGATGAGTTATCAGGCCCCGGGTGGAACGCTGTTGTTCGGCCTATTTGGGCTCGGGAACGGCTTCGGAACGAGTACGCCACTTTGAAATTTATCGCAGCAAAAACGACTATACCGGTACCAAATTGTCGAATTTACGAGGAAGATAATATCTTGCACCTCGAGACACATCGAATTGTGAACGGAGTTGGTCCACCTCTTTAGCCTCCCCGCAGGAGCAGTTAAGCAGTGCTTCTGTATGTTTGAAGCGTTGGTGGTATTGTTCAAAGTCTCCATGGCCTGATCGGGCCGCTAGGAGATGGTGAAGGACAGCCCGTGGCAGGGCAAGTTCTGGAGGGCAAGTAAAGGTGGCCTTAAGCCCTAGTTGGTTATAACGGGGGGGTGCCTGTTGCTTCCACCATTTTATGTGTTTGTGTTGTTTGCGTACTCTAGCAAGCTGCTTGATCCCAGATAGAGTAGCTAGTAGACCTAGGTGAGCAACGAAGTCCGGGAATTTTTCACAGGAAGACTAGGCTTAATACTTTCCATCACGGTAGATGAGCCAATGACAGCATGTCGACTCTTCGCTGCTGCGATTTCGCTACACTCATTGGACTAGCGTAGTTCATGTTCTCCACGCCGCCTTAGAGTCGTTGGCAGTGTCATCGTCATGCAGAGCCGGCCGGTGTCTACATGAGCTACCGCTCCATATCAGCGCAACTTAGAGAGCACATGGGAGGCCCCACTAGCCATGAGCCAGATAGCCTGGTGGTAACTAAAGACAGTTCCATAACTTCATTCATAGTAGAACTAGCAAGAGTTTCACTCTACGCTTACACAACGATGCACCAAGGTCTTGTACTTGTGGCTGCCAAGGAGCCAGCAGAGCGTGTTCAAATTCACTGATAAAGCAATACCGGAAATGTAATAGAGCTCTATTTTCAAGCGGCAAGTGGCTTTCGCTCACCGAGTTGGAGTAGCGGCGTCTCTCTCTTTCAACCAGGAGCCGGTCGGCAAAAAGGAGTTCCATATTCACAAGGGTAGGTTTCTATTACTCGTTAAGACTAAGTTCGTGATGCTTCTTCATGAATAGTCCAAGCCAAACAGTCCCAACTGCACGATGATCTCCAGTATCCTTGAGTGCCTTCTGCGCCATTTCCAACATCTCGCCCCGGGTCAGCGGGGAACCGAGTCCTTGCGAACTGATCGCATTCTTGACAATCCGTTCCTCTAAATCAGCAGGAAGGGTCTTCAACCCACCTCGTACTAATGCCCTTTTCTTGCGCTGAAGAGCCCTTGTGTTGGGTTTATGGTTAACAGCCTTGGTCGATATACCCGGTTTGGCCTTCTCTCGAATGCCTCGCTGGTTGTCGCGTGTACCGTTACTCTGACTGCCTGCTGAGATCTCTGTTGACTTTTGATTGATTTCTTTCTCGAAAGTTGAATGGAGCACAGTTGGGTCGGGTTGTGGCGTCTCCCCATATTCAGGATTCACAGACTGAGATTGATATTCTGCTGAGGAATTTTCGCTGCCGCCTGATTCGTGCGGCGCGTTGTTGGACTGGCTGACGATATGACACGGCTGCTATTATCCTTAGATCATTGTCTATCTCATTACAAAGTCGTCTGAGACAAACCTGTGAGACCTGCCTTTGACAGGTCTCCTGTCTCCGTCGGGAGATAGGATAAGATTTTTGCGTCGCTGCAGAATTGTCCTGCAAAGGTTGCTCTGACGAATCTTGACCCGAGTCATCCAGTGCAGACTTGGGGCGCTGGATGTCGATGCAGCCGCAACAGTGATGCAATTTGGAGGCCGCGATGCAATGCACTTGGTACTGAATGACGGGGTAGTATGGGTACGAAATTGGCCCTACGAATGGGAGTCCGTATGTACCTTGAGCTGCTTGATGCTCAAAGGATCCTGGTTGAATGTTGGCGTTGTACCGGTATAGTTGTTCATCGCCGACAAAGTGATGATAGTTGGATTGAGTCGGAACAGAAGCTGCGCCTTGAAGGGAGTCTGTCTCGGTTCGGATTTTCGGACTGGGAAGGACTCTCGTTGAAAAAGGCTGTGTATGCTCTCCATTCAGTATGAGGTTTCTAGATCCAGAATCAGGTACTTCATTTGAAGTTACTGAATTTGGCTCATGATCCTCGAGACTTCGTGTATATGGTGAGGTTGTGTGAGGCGAGGGATCAACGTCGAGCCCCATCTGAGATATCTCTTGGAGTGAAAAGGAAGCAGAACCGAATGATGGGAGTGAAGTACCAGGGTGCGTCTGTGACGATGCCATGATGAGGAGATTGATTCTGCAACAGGGTATCATTAGGGTTCGATCCACCTCCTCCCTCGCTCTTATATAAACTATCTCCTAACTATGATAAACCATCCAGACCCTTTCAATCCATCCAATCCTGTACATTCCTTTCCATAACCTGCCTAGTGAGTTCTCCATTAGGCCGGGACGCTGGGGTCACCAAAACATACTTGATTCAATCACGATAGGCTGTCAACCGACGGACGAACGCATTGCGATAGGATAGCCTTGAGCTTGCTTCGGAAACAGGGGTAGCCATCAGGAATAGTTGGACTTCGTGTCCTGATGGTCGTACACTCCGTCGGCGGAGGTTTTTTCAGAGCCCCTCAAGGCCGCACACGAGCGGACCAAGAGACAATCAAAAGCCGGGAAAGGGGCCAACACGCATACGAGCTGAGGCAAAGTCCCCTGTCCTGCAGGAATACTGGCTAGACATTGTGAAAGTAGAGCGATGACCGGCGGATGCACTTTTCCACCCCCGCGCGTTAGTATTCGCGTTGATTTTGCCCACTCACTCCCGTCAGTCGATGGCTGAGCAACACCATAGTCCTCAACGTGACGTGTTCAACCTTTTGACCAGTCACCTCATGGGCATAGGGCCCTTCTCTGACCGGCTTCGCCGTATCCCTCACATCCGAAAGCCAAATATGTGAGTCATTCATGCCTGAAATATGGGATATGACGATTGGGCATCTTCGACGCGTAGGGATGGAAGGCTTATGCTGGCAAGCTCTCTCATTCCTATTGCCCTTCTTCTTCATGTGCCTCTGTAGCGTGTCTTACTCCCATGAGCTTGAAGGCATTACAGTTCTGTATGACGAAGCAGGTCTTGATGGCGTTGAATGGAAATAGTCTCTCAACAGGAAGCCCAGAGGGCCTATGGAACCGGAGGCCGCGTGCGGTACGTTGTATCTTGTCAACCGCACATAGAGATGTAGCCTGTTGGTAACGCGGTGGTATCAAGACACGCGTACTTCTTGAGCGTGACTGGCCATCGACAGCGGGTACATACTGTACGCAGAAACTCGATTACATCCATCTGGCCCGTTGCGGAAGGCCCGTTGCTATCTTGAAGTAGATAGGTGTTTCCCAGTAAGTTATCTCCAGATCTCATATTGTATTAGAAAACATATGCAGTAAGCAGAGTTGGCAGGTTTGAAGCGGATTGAAAATGAATAGAAATGCATCCAGCTTGTGTAATACAACTAATGACACCTATGCGACTCCAGGAGCATTGAAGGTAGCCTCAACTCATTCCAGTAAGACATTGACGTTTCGATTCAATAACTTCGCTCACATACTTTCTAAAGCCAATCGGATCGTACCCCACTTAAGTCCGCTGTGTTCCATCGTCGCCACCGCTGCCCTTCTTCCTTGGTCCCCAGAGCGCGTCACTGTCTTGGCCAGGCATCCTATTGGCGAACGGGCCCATCACGTGTTCTCGTCTATGTAGTCAGAGCTTGCTGCACAGCCTCGGAATTTCGTCGCCACGGATTGCGCTTCCCTGCTGCCTGATTATGTAAACTGGGCTACTGGCGCGTGATTGAGTACCCACCAGGAGACAGCGGGCTTCACACCTGGCCCCTGCCGCCACACTTTTACGTGAGCCGGGCCGAGCTTCGCGCCGATAGATAGCACCGATTCCCCCGAAACAACACCCTCAGTCCCGCCCGACCAAAACATCGCTTCCCCTGAATGTTCCTTCGGGCACAAATGAAAAGCGAGCTCAAAGGTCCTTTTTGTACTTAGAGAAATGACCGTTAGATGTGCAATTCCAATGGAAAGGTACTAGGTAGGTACTATCGTGACACTCGAAGCCTGTTCAGCCGGGCGGAGGAGGGTCACAATGAGGCTGGTATGTTCGCGGGGAAGAGGTAGGAGCGTCACGTGAGGGACGTGACTGGTCATCATAAGGTGCCTCTCACCGCCTATCACAACAGAGCCTGAGTACATATGCCTGGGACTCAGGGCTACGGCATCGACCATGGTTACTTATCACGAAGGGACACGATCCCCTCACACTCCTCAACCATCCACCCGTCGATCATTGGGTGCTCTTTAAGCACAAATATGAGTTTTGGGTGCATGCTTGGCAGACTTCTAGTGGCACTGAGTGGTTAGTTTGGATGTAACCAATATCAGCTGTAGCACATGTGCCGCGCAGAGGCGCTCAGGCATCCAGCTGTGGGTGCCTAGCTTGCTCCTCCATGCGCTAAGAAAGGCTGCAAGCAAGTGGGGACATGATAGATTCACTCCGGGGTGAGAAGATCATCGATACGCCTAAGGACAGATTACGGCGGCTCTACCGTTTGTAGATGGGTCCGTGTCGGTCGCATCATGTTCCATTCCGACCGTTGCGAGGAACGGTGACCACCGCTTTAGGTTGGCAAAGCCATCATGAGAAAAGCTGCCTAAGCTCCATCTAGATGATGCCAGTGAGGGGTCGAGCGGCCTGAGGAGCTCTTGGCAGCTGTTGGCTGCTTTTGTTGGCCAGGTGCGTGTAGGAAACATGTTTGGGCCGAGCCGTAGGCTTCATCAATTGGCCAACTTTGATGCACAGTCTGTTCTGGATTGCAACTTGGCTACTACAGGCCATGCGGCAATTCGTGATATCGCATGCATACACCATTCATCATTGCAACTTCCTAGGTAAGTGATGTAACGTAACTCAGGCTGGTCCCCCCCAACAAGGTGCACTGTATGCTAGTGGCTGGAAGAAGCGGGACAGATCGGGCTGATCTATTGCTGAATTCTCCTTGTGGATATCTGCCCCGGATGATTTGATTTGATTGATTCCTACTCGGTTTTGGCCGCTTTAGTCAGCAGCTATGCCCGGATAGCGGGGTTTGGCCAACAGCCGACGTGCTCCAAACGTTAATCCGTAGCGCCCCACTTCGCCAGTGCAAAACACCGACCAGCCGTCTCCAAATCTCCCACTTTGCTCTCCAACCTCATCTACCCTTGGCTGGCACCTAGTGTAGTTCGCGGTTCTCTACTAATGTACATGCATATCTAGGCTCTATTGAGGTCTTTCTCCTCGTACAACGGTTCAGCGTACCTACAGTCTCCCCCCAATATTCAGCTTAGTCTGGTATGCGACTCGATCCCGTGTTGCCCAAGGATCTCGGTCTGTTCTATGAACCGGATTGCCTTGGCGGCTGCTTTGCGCTTGTTCAGTATGACCCGGAGATTGTGTCGTCCTGGGAGGGTTCCGAATGCCTGGCGCCGGAGTTGTCGAAACCTGCGGCATCGCAGCAGGATGTGCGACACCGTTTGTCGTCCCTCCCGGCATGGGCAGTTGGCGTTGGTGATGCCCGGTACTCTTCGGTTGAAGAGGAAGTCCTGGAGCCCGATCTTTTCCGTGCGCATCTGGACCAGGAGTGCGCTCTGGCGTTTACTCAGGCCTTCGTGGAGTTCGAGGACCTTCTTTGTCGGCTTCGGCGTGAGACGGAACGATGTTCTCCCTCGCGTCTCGGTTTCCCATTTGGTTTGCCACGCGTGGTGGGACTGTTTATGCGACCATGTCTTGACTGTTGATCTGAGTTTGAACAAGGCTCTCGGCTTGTCTGCCCTGGAACCTGTCTGTCCGTCTGGCCTCCATCCCGTCGCCTCCTTGGCGGCGATGTCTGCTGCTTCGTTGCCCTGGATACCGATGTGGGCAGGTACCCATCGGAGCTCGACTTCGAGTCCCTGTTCTCGGAGG